CGGTGGATGAGGTCGGGTCCTTACCTGAGGACCCGTAAATCCTCTCCGGGGAGACCATTTGGGAGGCGGGCAAACTGTCCCAACTGGGCATCCGATCCCACCGGGACGGTCTCGCCTCCGCGGCTCACTGTCGGTGTCCCGCACAGCCCAATCTCTTCGCCCTATCCTATCATCCCATAGCTCTGTAATGGTCTTTTCATGGCGAAACAGCTTGCTTTTAAGAAAAGAAAACAAAATATTTTCGCCGTCACAACAAAAGGTGAATACCTATTATAACCGTCGCCGGCCGAGGGGTCGCGAGTACCGCCCCCCCCCCCCACCGCCCCAGGTTTTTTCGCGATAGCTCCAAACACGCTGGAGATGGAGAGCTTAAAGTTGGCATAACTAATCTTTGATTCAAGCCGGATCTTTTGACACCAACCCCATTTTCGGGTCAAGTCAGGCCACTGACCCTATGACGTCAGCCCATAAGTGCACCTCTGCAGTGCACGATCTTCAGATGTCGCAACTTCGCAATGTCCTCAGTGCCAGAGGAGCTCTCACAGGAAGATGAAAGTTACAGGACCTAGCACCCCTCCGAATGTCTCACAAGTTGTATATCGCGGATTTTTCCTTCAGAGTGCGTCATACTTGCCTAATGCCTACCGTGCCTATATCAAAAGTGCTTGAGGTGGAGTGCGGTGCAGTATCACTTCAGGCATTTTTAGTACTGCCATCTAGTGACAATAATAGTAATGGTATACGATTCGTGCTGTCAACGGATGGCGCTTCCGGCTCCCGCATTCTTTGGCCGTTTGTTTAGTTTAATAACCTTCAGGCCCTGCGCTTTTGGCCACACCAGCCAGTTTCTTGCGTGTAGGACAAAGGTATAAAGAAAAACACGGCGCGCAGCGACGCGAAACTTGGTACCTATAGCTTTTGATATTACGTTAGCCCATTGTGTGAATTTTTATCCGGACCCCACGTCAAGTCTGCAGTTTATTTCCGATTTGTAGGTATTTGTAGGACAATTTGTAGGTATATCTTGGAATTTCGATATCGGTGGCCTAAGGGCAGGTCAATTTGGCGATTAGGCATAAGTCAATGGGAAAAAATGTTCACCTTTTGGATGGGAAACGTACTAAACACTCGAACATTGGGATAGAGGTAAACACGACGCACTGAATCGGTAAATGGCACCCGTGACCCCTCTTTATGCCCCTGAGGTCATCTCAGGTCATGAAAGGTCTCCAGCAGTGTCAAATTTGAAGCTGACCTTTTCAGGCGGCATGAACTGCAGCACAGACATTACTATTCCACATAGTATATCAACGTAGGGATGATAACCTTTAAGCACCAGTCCAAAGCTAACGGCATGTGAACACCGATACAACAGTACACGAACATTCACTAGATTATACCAGAGATTAAGCTCCCATGTCTAGGGCGTGCTCTTATAGATGCCTAAAGTAAAGCAATGTATTTCCAAGAGTCTCCTGCAGCCCTTCGCCCGCCGTCCCGCGCCGTTCACTCGGTGCCGGTGGTCGGCGTCGGTGGGAGCGCGTGCGGTCCTCCGGCGGCCGGGCTGACCTGCTGCAGGATGACGCCGTACGTCACCAGGGCGGCCACCAGCGACAGCAGCGTGCCGCAGTTGACGTAGAACAGGCCGGCCGCGCTGACGTCGGCCTCGGCCGTCTGCACCTGCAGCGTGGCCTGCACCGTCTCCAGCTGCGTCTCCAGCCGCGTATCCCGGTCAGCCTCGGACCGAGGTTTCTGGTGCAGGACGGAGGGGCTTCCTCCGATGGCCAGCGGCAGACCGAGAAGCGTCAGCGGCCGCCGCGCCGCCGTGGTCACCCGCTGGCCGGCCAGACACAGCGAGCTGACATTCAGCAGGCCAATAGCCAGCTGCGAAATGGTGACGGGCACACGCTGTTCAACCGGTAGGTAGGCATATTCAGGAAGAACAACGCCCATGGACAGACCGAAGCTGAAGAGTATCTGCATCAGCAGCTGGGTGCCGAAGGCCTCGTTGAAGAGGCTGAGCAGGCGCGCGGTAGCGGCGTGACGGTGCCGTAGGTGCTGGATCCTGGCCAGGGCGGTGCTGTCGATGACTTTGACGGTCTGGCGAGGCGGCGGGCTGGAGGCGTTGCGAGGGTTCGCTGGCCGTTTTCTACAGCAGCGGAAGCAGCTGGCGGAGTCCTCGAAGGGTGTTTCAGGTGATAGCTGCTCCCGAGGGTCGGGAGAGACCGGTCTGGTGACGGTCAGACCGTCTCCGTCTAGGAACAGGGCCACGTCCGGAGTGAGACAGTGCGAGTACTCGGTGTACACGGAGCCCCGTCGGCCCTGGGCCGTCTGAGTTCCTCCGTGGAGAACTTGTTGACGAGAGGTCGGCCACAGCTGGGCGTCGGTCTCGGCGGGCTCCTCCAGCAGCCGGCTGACCTCCTGGAACCGGTCCCCGATCTCCAGCAGGGCGCTCAGCATCTGCCACAGCACCAGCACGCGCAGCAGCTGACCGTAGATGCCCCCCGAGACCAGCGCCCCCAGCTTCCAGGCCTCCATGCGGGGCACACACCACAGCAGGATGCCGGCATCCATCGCTACCACCACCGCCATCACGACGACCATCCAGCGCCGCTCGGTGACGCCGCTGGAGCTGCCGCGGAGGTCGGCGCAGGCACGCAGCAGCTCGGCGATCGCCCCCGCCTTCATCCGCTGCGCCAAAAACATCAACAGCATCGGCGCTACCATCATCGACAGCTTGAACACGGACGAGACCGTATTATCTATGCCCTTGAATTCGTCAAAGCCTTGCGTAAAGACGGCAATAGTGCTAACGACCGGCATGACAACCATAAAAATCAGTGGCAGCAGGGCGGCGACGCTGGGCCAGCTGAGGGGCCGGTACCGGATCGGGCCGCCGCCGAGCAGCCCGCTCACGGGCAGCGTGCCCAGAACCACCGACAGCACCTGGCATAGTGGAGCTCTCATGGTGCGACTGGCCAGCGGCACTGGGGCTGAGGTCTACAGTGGCGACCGGAATACTTCAGCCTACGGTCCTCCGCTGATGCACACAACTTGGCGCCAGACGGTGAGAAAGGCAGACGGCGGACGCGGTATAGGTTCTCTTCCCTCATCAAACACGAGTTCACAAGAACGTCACGCAGTCTCTTCTTCCCTATAGACGAGACGATAATTACACAAACTACGTCTTCTTTCTCGTACTACCGCTCTTCCAGGCTGTGATCGAAGCTCTCTCAAGAGGTGCTCGCAGCTCTTCCAGACGGTACTCGAAGGTGCTCCAGCGGCACTGGGACTGCCTCGGTAGGTACCAGCCGCGTGTGCGGCCACTCGCGCCGCCCTGGGGTCTCTGGCTCGTATCCGAGCAGCCAGACGTGCGCCGCGCCCGCCCGCCTGATTGGTTGGGGACGGTGTGTGGGGCAAATTGACCTGCCGGGCGGCTGGCAAACGGACTGTGTAATGTTCGTGTGGACAGGTCTGCAATGTACGGGGGATATTGGAACTGGTTGAGTTGATCTCAATAATGAGTACCTGGTTTGGCTAGAGTTGACGGCAGCAGCACAGATGTCTCCGAGGAAAATTTGCCTTTTTCTAATAGAGTAGCGAGAGTAGCTTTAAAAGGTTAAAATATGCAAAATAAAGGATGGGCGCACAATATAGAATCAGTATGCAAGTCGTTGCTAGGCAGCAAACGAGCGTGCGCGAAGGCAGTGCGCTCGTGTCACTCAGGTGAGGTCTTCACTGAGACCGTCGTGGGTCACCCGTCAAGCCAGTCCCTTACGGCGTACCTGCACTTTGAGAGCATTCTGCCCAGCCCGAAGCTTCATGCGTTGTCGTTGCCGCCGCCGCTCATTAAAAACAAACAAGGCCCTGTTTCACGGCACGCTGCTAGCCGGCGTTATCAGGTATCAGCGTTCGGTTTCCATGGACAGTGGGCACGTAAGCAGACTTGCCAGAGTTCGTTTATGGAGCGCCGCAGGGCCCAGTGTCCACAATCGAGTATGAGCTTTGCGGTGCAGCCTAGCTTCAGGCGTTTATCGGTGCTGCCATCTAGCGACAAACGAATCGTACCGAGACGGTTCGTGCGACAGGGCGCTGCAGTAGAAATCGCTATAAAAGGTAGTGAAGTGATAAAAGACGCTGACTTCACCACAAAAGGAACTGAGGTGAGAACTCAGCGATGTAAGCAGTGCAGTCTGAAATGTTGTAAAATGAAGCAATGTGCCGCCGCCGATGTCGACTACAACAAAAACGTTTGTGACATAAAGTTCGCCATGAAATGAAAACGCCATTCGGCGTCACTCCTGGCCATTTGACCTACAGGTTAACAAAGGCCACGACCCCTAAATTTGCACAGCAGAATATTGTGGCTCACCCAGTAGAGCTAGAGCACTGAAGTTGAATATTGTGACTCACCCAGTAGAGCTAGAGCACTGAAGTTGACATCAAGCAGGGCGCTGGAGTAGAAATCGCCATAAAAGGTAGTGAAGTGATAAAAGACGCTGCCTTCACCACAAAAGGAACTGAGGTGAGAACTCAGCGATGTAAGCAGTGCAGTCTGAAATGTTGTAAAATGAAGCAATGTGCCGCCGCCGATGTCGGCTACGACAAAAACGTTTGTGACATAAAGTTCGCCATGAAATGAAAACGCCATTCGGCGTCACTCCTGGCCATTTGACCTACAGGTTAACAAAGGCCACGACTCCTAAATTTGCACAGCAGAATATTGTGACGTGACCCACCCAGTAGAGCTAGAGCACTGAAATTGACATCAAGCCACTCGGCAGGACCTGGTGCATCTCTCGCTCGGAAACTATAACAATAAGATGTATTCTAATTGTGCTGCCACAATATCAAAATGCTACCTAAAATAACATAAATATCACTGTAGGTTCTTATACGTAGCGATACGTAGCTATTAATAAAACATATAATAGCTACAAACATATAATAGCTAAACATATAATAGCTACATATACGTAGCTATTAATAAAACATATAAATGATTAATTCACTTTTATTTCCGAATTGATAATGAAATCCATAGGTGACGTCAGAAGATAAAAAGAAACGAATGCAAAGCTCTTTGTACAGCATCGATAAAGATGGCATGCATGTTTGACGCTCCTCCCTCCATGAGTTGCGGGTCTCGTAAAAGCAAGTTTGAGAAGAAAAAAAAACGCCTGCTTATAAATATCCTCGTCGTCACCATAAGCTGATCATCCCCACCTCCGAAACCTATCGCCATTCTCCTGCTTCAAAACAAATCAAACTTCGGCCATTCCGCCACCTTTTGTACCCTCCGCCCTCTGATCCAGAGTTCTTTACCCGGCTCCCGCCGCTGCCCGTATCGGGCCTGCTCATGCCATGCCGCAGCTGCAGCACAGCTCATTTTCAGCCCCCACCGTTGGCGGTGATTGCCCCACTCAGTAGTAGGTCTCGCGTTCGCACCATCCACCGGGAATCGTCCGCAGCGTGTAGCGCCGGCACTCATCGTAGATCCAGATGAGGAGCGAGAATGGTGCCGCGGTGACCCACCAGTTGAAACGGAGCGGGTACATCTTGAACAGCTGATCCGTGCCGGGACAGTAGCTCAGGATACACGCCACCACCGTCTCAAACACCAGCCCGAAGTTGAACATGCCGTTCTTCATCTTGTGTGTGAAGATGGAGTTACGCCTCGTCTTGCAGATGATGGCGTCTGCCCACTGCACGACCACGATGGAGACGAAGAAGGCCGTCTGGCTGGTGTACTCCAGCTTCTTGCGCTGTGCGTACGTCCACTCCTGGCCGTACGAGTCCTCGAGGTCGTTCAGTGAGCGTGTCTCCCAGGTGGACCGCAAGCCGAACAGGTGGCAGGGCAGGAAACCGTGTTCGCCCAAAATGACCACCCAGGTGAAAAAGCCGGCAGCTGCCTGGATCATGCCGATCTGACCGTAGGCCATCGAGATGAGCCGCTCGTTCACTAGACGGTCCAGGTGCTTGTCGCGAGGCATCCGCTTCATGATGTCCGATTCCGCGCTCTCATAGGCGAACGAGATGGCCGGCACCATGTCCGTGCCGAGGTCGATGCAGAGGATGGTGACAGTGCCCAGCGGCAGCGGTACACCACACACGATGTACAGCAGGAACGGAGAGATCTCAGGGATGTTGGACGTCAGCGTGTAGGCGATCGACTTCTTCAAGTTGTCAAAGATCAGGCGACCCTCCTCGACGCCGGTGACAATCGAGGCGAAGTTGTCGTCGAGTAGGATCATATCGGCTGCCTGTTTGGACACATCCGAGCCAGCGATGCCCATAGCCACGCCGATGTCGGCACGTTTCAGCGCTGGCGAGTCGTTGACGCCGTCGCCGGTGACGGCCACGATCGCTCCGGCACGCTGACAGCCCTCCACGATGATCAGCTTTTGCTGCGGTGACGTGCGTGCAAACACTATCTCGTCGTGATCGCGCAACACCGAGTCAATATCCTCGTCGGTCATTTCCTTCAGCTGTCCGCCGTGCACCACGGCCGCCTTGGCCAGCCGTGGGTCGATGTCCTCGGCACGGCGGCGCATCCGCACCACCAGGTCGTCGATGGTGTAGCTGTTGGGCGAGATGATACCGACGGAGCGCGCGATCGCCTTGGCCGTGATCGGATGGTCGCCGGTGACCATGAACACCTTGATGCCGGCAGAGCGGCACTTGGCCACGGCGTCTGGCACAGCGGCGCGCGGCGGGTCGATCATCGACACCAAGCCCACAAAACGCAAACCGTCCAGTGGGAAGTTCTCCTCGTCGCCGTCGAACGCGTAGCCCTCTGGAAATGAGTCGATGGGCAGCGCCATATCGCAGAAGCCAAGCACTCGCTCACCCATGCCGCCCAGTTCCATGTAGGCTTTGTTGAAGCGTCCCTTCCATTTGTTGTTGAGGCTGACGTCGCCGCCGTGATAGTGAATGGTTGTGCAGCGGTCCAGGATACGTTCTGGGGCACCCTTCATCACCAGTAGGTAGCGACAAGTTCGTCCTTCTGAGTCTGTAAACTCACTCTTCATGTCGTGCACGCTAACCTGGTACTTGTTGACAGAGTTGAACGGGATTTCGCAGACCTTCGGATATTTTTCACGATATCCAGCCACATTACCGAATACGCTCTCCGTGAATTTCAAAATCGCAGCCTCGGACGCGTCACCATTGATGTTGCGGTGCATGATCGGAACTTTCTCCTGGTCTGCTTGGAACTCAGCTCGATTGCAGAGCATGCAAATGCGACCCATTGCATCCCAGCCATCCACCGTGGTGTCTAGTTTGCCTCCCGATTGATCCTCAGTGGTATCGGTGGCCGTAATTTGACCGTCCAGCCAGATATGTGCCACCGTCATCCGATTTTGAGTCAGCGTTCCCGTCTTATCCGAGCATATCGTCGATGTCGAGCCCAGTGTCTCCACGGCCTCCAAGTTCTTAACGAGACAGTTCTTCACCGCCATTCGTTTCGCCGTGAGTGTAAGACACACGGTCACTGTAACCAGCAGCCCCTCGGGAACGTTCGCGACTATGATGCCGATGAGGAAAATGACGGCTTCGACGAAGGCGTAATTCAACAGCATCGCTACGATGAAGAAGGATACACCAAGAAACACGGCCACTGCGGTGATAATGTGGATAAAGTGCTCGATTTCGATGGCAATCGGAGTTTTACCCGACTCGAGTCCGGATGTTAGTCCAGCGATGCGACCCATCACCGTGTCATCCCCAGTGTTGATGACTATGCCGCGACACGTTCCTTCCACCGCGTTTGTCGAAAAGAAGGCGAGGTTCTTGGTCTCCAGAGGATTGTCATGGGTGGCTTCGGGTGAGCGAGCCTGTGGTTCAGATTCTCCGGTGAGAGATGAATTGTCAACTTTCATAGCGTGCGCCTGGAGGATGCGGATATCGGCAGGAACCCGATCACCGAACTTGACATCAACCACGTCACCAACCACTAAAGTTTCCGCCTTCACAGTCTTGCTTTTGCCATTGCGGATCACGTTCGCCTGGTGTGGTACCAAGTTTTTGAATGATTCCATGATCTTTGAGCTTTTTCGTTCCTGGTAGTACGAGAAAATACCAGTCACCACCACGACACCAGTCAAGACAACACCGACGTAAAAGTTGTCAGGCTCCACATGGTCCTTTGAAGCTGACTCACCGGCATAGACACTGAAACAGAGAATCGCTCCCACCCATAGAAGCATTGAGAAGCCGTAGAACATGTTTTTGCAGAACTTAACCCACTCTGGAGTTTGTTTCGGTGGCGTAAGAGTGTTCAGTCCATCTCGTTTTAAATAACGCTCCGCCTGTTCGTCTGTTAGACCAGTGATCTCATTTGTACCTAGCCTAGCACAAAGATCCTCGAGAGGTATAAGATGCTCATCAAGTTCTAACTCTCGTTTTAGCTCTTCTAAGTCACGTTGGCTTGACTTCGGCTTATTCAATAGGGCTTCAGACGCCTGGACGCTTAACTTCCGTCTAGAGACCGACGCCTGTAAAATAAAAGAGGTATTAATTTTCATTGCTTGTATTTACAACGTTTGCAATGTATCTAATCACTAAAAAACATTTTTATCTTGGAATGACTCGAGATCTTTTTTATAAATGGCACACATGAGGAATAGGTACAGAAAAGCGAAGTGCAGTTACCTAGGAAATAAGCATCAGCCGGAATTTCATAACCAATTTCATTGGAGCGACGGAAATGTCCATCAAATCAATATAAAAAACGTAGACACGGATGTACTTAAACAGAAAAACGAAATTCACTTACCATTCTGATGCGTATAAAATCCCAAAATTTCGAGTACTTGGATCAAAGCACCGGGAATCCACTTGACATGTAAAAATAAGCTAGGCGAGACATTTAATATAAAATAAGGTGATCATGGTTTGAAAGTTCAAAGGGAAATATTTCATTATTAATGTCATGTCCTTAAAAATTGTTACACAATATTTCATATTTCATAAGGGCGATGGCTGAAAAACTTAACTAAGCCGGTTTATTTCTCGCGCCGTCTTAGCGTGAATTTCAGTAAAAGGTACCTCGGATATAAATCACAGGGCGACATACAACTCAACGTACAATAGAAAAACACAATTCTAACGAATAGTGTTTGTCTTTTCAAACAACCTGCGGTTATGTGGAAAATGAATGAAAAGAAGCTAATATACAAGGCAACAAACAAACATGTGCAAAACAAAACAATAAAAAGTAAAAATATGCACATATAACTATAACAAATATGTTTTATCTTTTGCAATACCTATGCCCATGCCGTCTACACTCAACAACACACGCGTACACACAAAATACTCGAGGGCAGCGCTTTTCGAGGAGCGCTGTGGCCCGAAGGTTTGGACTTTGAATTGTGAAAACGCCCGCCCGCCGCAAAACGCAAACACCGCAAAACGCGCAAAACGCACGCCCGAAACGCCAACGCAAACGTCGCAAAAAAATAAACAAACGCCCGCCCGCCGCAAACCGCAAAAAAACGCAAAAACGCCGCAAAACAATAAAACCGCCCGCATCGCACGTACCTACACAAAAAATACAATTGAAAAGAGATAAAACTCGCTAATCCTTAGCCATTACATGGATGTTCTAATTTCTTATTGAAAATCATCGATGGAGCATTGTTTGTCAAACACATATTTTGCTATTTGAAGTCATTGATAGCAGGGCCTCGTTTCATAAAGCGAGTCCGTAACTTATGCCGTTTTTTAGTCTTGTATTGCAAGTGCATGTGAAGTGGTGACGATAGTTTGAATCGTTGAATCTATTTATCTTGCAAGCAAGAACAGAAGGAGAAGGGGAAATAAATTTATCGCTTCACATGCGCTTGCAATAGGTACAAGCCCAAAAACCGGCGTAAGTTACGGACTTGCTTTATGAAACGAGCTGCCCAGGTGAGGTCAGGTCGCTGAGGGTCACATGATGAAAAAGTCGTGTGATGCATGTTTTATGGTTCATTTCACATGCCAAATACGATTATGTGGGTCAGGCAGCCTTTGGGGCCAGTTTCGGTTATGTTCTGGTGATTGGTCAGGTTAAGGTCATGTCAAATAAGGTCAAATTTCAAAGTTGGTGTTTTCGCATAAAATGAGTATCGATTCGATGCAGTTCGTCACGGGGAGCCTAATGGTGGTCTTTATTATGCGCTACGTGGTCTAGAATTGCTAAAAATTGAGTTTTAGTTTTTTGCTATAGCTTAGCCAAAAAGATGTATCGATATCAAATTTAGTATGAAATTTAGAAGACGGCTGGCAATATAATGTACCTATATCTCTGTTTTCAAAATTTGGGAAAAAACTTTTGGTATTTTTTTGGCTAATATAAACAAATTATTTTTGGGGTCAAAATGAAAAAATAAAAAAAAATCAGAGATGGTAATTTCATAGCCCTGTTAATTCTGTAGCTTTTATGTAACACATTTTTCTGTACTTTCAAAGTTGTAGGCCTGACAGCTCTTTCCGCAAAACATTTATTTTTTTGTCGAAAATGGCAGAACATGACGTCATTCTGACGTCATTTGTGACAAGCTAACGTAGCATCTGTATTTTTTTTTTGTCACAATGTGTAAAATTGATGCATGGAGAGGTCCTGAAAGTTTGGTGACGATATCTTCAGTCGTTTAGGCGATATCCACGGAAAAGGACAGATGGGGGGGGGGGGCGTTTCGCCCCCCCCCTACGGGGCGCGGGTTAATATCAATGCAACCAATTCCAATAACACCATGCCCCACAGTGCTGACTACACGGACATTACACAGTCCGTTTGCCAGTCGTTCGGTGAGTCAATTTGTCCCGGGCACCGTCCCCATCCAATCAAGGGAGTCGCCGCAGCCTATGCGCACGTCTGGCCGTGCTCGGATACGGACCAGAGACCCGAGAGCGACGCGAGTGGCCGCACACGCCGCTGGTCCCAAGTGATTCCGGTGCTGCAAGAACAGCTTAGAGCACAGCGCGAAGAGCCGAGGGACGGAACGACACAGAAGTTAAAGTCTGCCGTATTGTCTCGTCTATTGGGAGGAAAAGATTTCACGCAACCTTCGTCTTGTGAATTCGTGCCCGGTGTGAAACGACTCCGGATTACAAATTATACTTCTCTTCATCTACAGTGCCAAGCTGTGTAGCTCTGAAGCAGAGTCTTGTGACTCCTCCTCTTTAGCCGTGAAAGGTCAAGCTGCCGCCACTCCGTCCGTTCTACTGGCGTGAGTCTGCCGTCGCTGCTATCACTGCAGCTACCAGAGCCTGTCGCTGGCCGGTCGCACCATGAGAGCTCCACTATCCCAGGTGCTGTCGGTGGTTCTGGGCACGCTGCCCGTGAGCGGGCTGCTCGGCGGTGGCCCGATCCGGTACCGGCCCCTCAGCTGGCCCAGCGTCGCCGCCCTGCTGCCCGTGCTGCTCATGATCGCCATGCCGGTCGTCAGCGTGTACGTCATCATGACGGAAGGAGTCGGCGAGCTCAAGGGCATCGACAGTCCGTTCTCAGTGGTGTTCAATCTGTCAGCAGTGGTGGTGCCGTTGCTTCTACTGTTCGTGGCGCAGCGGATGAAGGCGGGGGCGATCGCCGAGCTGCTGCGTGCCTGCGCCGACCTCCGCGGCAGCTCCAGCGGTGTCACGGAGCGGCGCTGGTCGGTCGTCCTGATGGCGGGGGTTGTGGTGCTGGACGCCGGCGTCCTGCTGTGGTGTGTGCCCCGCATGGAGGCCTGGAGGCTGGGGGCGCTGATCTCAGCGGGCATCTACGGCCAGCTGCTGCGCGTGCTGGTGCTGTGGCAGATGCTGAGCGCCCTGCTGGAGATCGGGGACCGGTTCCAGGAGGTCAGCCGGCTGCTGGAGAAGCCCGCCGAGACCGACGCCCAGCTGTGGCCGACCTCTCGTCAACAAGTTCTCCGCGGAGGAGCTCAGACGGCCCAGAGCCGACGGGGCTCAGTGTACGAGTACACCGAGTACTCGCACTGCCTCACTCCGGACGTGGCCCTGTTCTTAGACGGAGACGGTCTGACCGTCACCAGACCGGTCTCTCCCGACCCTCGGGAGCAGCTATCACCTGAAACTCCCTTCGAGGACTCCGCCAACTGCCTCCGCTGCTGTAGAAAACGGCCAGCGAACCCTCGCAACGCCTCCAGCCCGCCGCCTCACCAGACCGTCAAAGCCGCCGACAGCACCGCCCTGGCCAGGATCCAGCTCCTACGGCACCGTCACGCCGCCACCGCGCGCCTGCTCAGCCTCTTCAACGAGGCCTTCGGCACCCAGCTGCTGATGCTGACGCTCTTCAGTTTCGGGTTGGCCGTTGGCGTTGTCCTGCCGGAATATTCCTACCTACCCGTGGAGCGACGCGTGCCCGTCACCATTTCGCAGCTGGCTATCGGCCTACTGAATGTCAGCTCGCTGTGTCTGGCCGGCCAGCGGGTGACCACGGCGGCGCGGCGGCCGCTGACGCTCCTCGGTCTGCCGCCGGCTGTCGGAGGAAGCCCCTCCGCCCTGCAACAGAAACCTCGGTCCGAGGCTGACCGGGAGACGCGGCTGGAGACGCAGCTGGAGACGGTGCAGGCCACGCTGCAGGTGCAGACGGCCGAGGCCGACGTCAGCGCGGCCGGCCTGTTCTACGTCAACTGCGGCACGCTGCTGTCGCTGGTGGCCGCCCTGGTGACGTACGGCGTCATCCTGCAGCAGGTCAGCCCGGTCGCCGGAGGACGGTACGCGCTCCCACCGACGCCGAGCACCGGCACCGAGTGAACGGCGCAGGACGACGGGCGAAGAGCGGCAGAGAGACCGTAGGTACCCGTGAGACGAGTGCTAACAAGGCCGACGAGAAAGTGACATGAGTAGTCCGAAACAATCATTCCATCATACCTGGCGGATTAAAGGCGAACGAAGACCGGTTAAAACGATTCCTTACCCAGCCCGGAGAATAGAAATGTTGGGAAATAAATATACATAAGAAACGTTCAGGGGCACGGAGTCCCGAAAAAAAAATCAGTCCGTGACGGTAGAGAGGAAAATGCCGAGGCCTACGTTGTGAAATAGCTAACAAGTCAGACGAAAGAGACAATTAAATTGCAAAAAGTCAACGGATATAATTGCAAAGCTTAATAGCGGAAAGTCAAACCGCGACAGCCAGGCAGAAATTGTCGCCGAGAAAACCCATGACTTTTGCCTTTTTTTCTTTTGCCGATTCGTCTCCTTGTTATCAAACTCTTCCACTCACTTTTCAGTTCTGTCTGGAAGCCGATCCGAAGCGACGTTAACCCGGTTTACATAGCATATTTGACGAGGCTCTAACTCGTTAATTTGGCGATAATTTCGATACAGTGGTCTTCAAATATTTAGAGGGGATCATTTTGTAAATTGTTCAGCACCATTGGCATCTTTTGCAACATCACGGACGGAGATATAAGCTTGCAACAAACCCTATGTAAACGCGTCTGTTATCTGATCGATCCGATTATAATTAAAAGGTTTCTGAAAATTCCTTTACCATACTATTGGTAAATATGCCCGCACTACATCATATGGCAGCTTTGCTCTGATGCATATATGGCGTACATATGACGTTCACAATCACAACTTTTTGATTACCTTTTCTTTATTACGATACGATGTGGCGTGTATCAGATTGAAATCATACCGTTTTGGTATAACCTACGGCCTTTGCTTGACCCCTGTATTTGGTTTGACCTTAACTATTTGGATATTGGAATCGAAAAAAGTGAAACTTACTTCAAATTCAAGACTTTCCGGTTGAAAGGTGAGTGAACATCTTACAGTTGTTTCAGTTTGTATGGTCAGAGGATGTGAGGGATTCTGAGGTTTTTAGTGTTCCAACTTCCAGCTCGATATTGTAATGCTATTTGACATTGAATAGTTCTGTATCATCTAAGGCAGGCTTTCATGTATCTAGACTTTAATAATTTTTGGGTAGTCTATGTACAATAAACTGGCATTGGTCATATTTTCAATGGAATGTCCCATCATCACGAAGCACTGGAAATAAAGATTTTAATGTAAATATTTGATATGAGGGTAAAACATTTATACAGTTATTGTGCCAGTTGCTACATTGCTATTTGCTACCTGCCAAAGCTAAAGAAGAGGTTTCTAGTTGGCCCTTTTGATTTTGACTTTTCAAATTCCAGACTGACTTTGGTGCTGTTCCAATCCATGCATCAGCAGTTGTATATGAAAAGTGTGGAAGGCCACATTTTCCACAATATGAATTACATAATTGTGTATGCTACAAAGAGCCAAAATGTTAAAACACACTAATGGTATTGCGTAGGTATGTCTAGTGAAAGCCCTGCAGAGACTCAATTGCATAACCTTGTTCCCCTCAATCTGCTTTTGGGCCCCCAGTCAATGTGCTTGTGTCCCATATGAATTAATTCATACATTAGTCACCATATGGCTCCCGAGCACCTAGCCCAGCCCCGCGCCTCCCTTCTCCGGCAGATGGCAGAGGCCGAGGCCGCTCAGGGCACCGCGGCCACCGTGCTGCCGCCGCGCATGGCCGGTGGACCGCACGGGCTCGGCGACCCCGACGACCGCTCGCTGCGCCGCGTCGAGGTCGAGGTGCTCATCCCAAAGATCATGCGCGACCTGGCGCGCAGCTCAAAGTGTGTTGAGGAGGCCGACACATTCAGTCGCTGCTGTAACGAGAACGGCCTCACCATGGTGTACAAGTGTCGGAAGGAGAACGAGGCACTACGCTCGTGTCTGACGCGCTGGTACGAGGACCCGGCGTTCCGACAGGAGTGCACCGACATCTACCTGGACGAGCGCTCCGCCTACCGCGCCACCGGACTCAAGGCCAAGCTGCGCCGCAAGGGCTCGGACATGTTCTGAGCGTGCGGGACCAGGGAGGGCGGGCAGGCCGCACTGTGGATTATTCATGCTGAGAGGCGGGCCGAACTGTTAGAGTGATCAGTGGTTGATGCGATACCTTTGTGACTGACTGGATTGGGCAATTTTCAGCCCCTGTGAGTCGTGAGAGGATGTTCATGCAATGGACTTATTTGTTAATATACTGAGTTGTGAATAGTTCAGCTTTCCAGATATGCCTCAGAGTACGGTTGGTGTTCGGGGGAGGTGGAGCGGACTGGGTAAGTGCATCATTAGCGCGACCTGTTGGTCAATCAAAGGAATCAGACGTTTCTGTTCATTGTTAGCACGCATGCACTGCTTGGGTTAGTCCTGAGTAAGCCGTTGAAGAAGCAGTTAGGTAGGCAGGCTACGAAGCTGAGAGGAGATCGAGACGGAAACGACCTGCCAATTCAGGCCGATCTCCGAAGGAAGTGACAACATACTGAGCCTGGAAGAGGTGCTTCAGGCAGAACTCTTGACTTTCGGCACACATCTGCGTCCTAAGATACCATCTTTTTTAGTAGACATCTGTCGATTTATTTGTCAGCGATATGACGTGTAAATACAGATGTGTGAAGATGAATCGCGCCCGTCGTCGTCTATCGACTCGTTCACTAGAAAAACTACGTCAAAAACCTTCCCTAAAACCAATCTCTTACAACTCGGCACATGAAACGGTTGGCATTCGTTCGCGCTCACACGCGCTCCACTCGAGATGCTCGCAAAATAATAAATAGACCGATGACTGCACAAAAATGAAGTCACTGAATACTACTCTTCATGCTTGCTACGTCGCTCTGACCTAAAATGACAGGCGTTGGGATAGTTCCCGCACACTGCGCCGGCGTGTAGAATGTCAAACACCTTGCACAAAATGTTCACACTTCACGGAGAGTTTCGCTTCAACATGTCACATGATCGACTTAAAAATACATCCGGGAGTCTAATCCCGCCGTGTCGGGGCGCTCACATGGGCTCGGCCGACTCGTCTATGACCATGCCCCTCTCCTCGTCGTCAGAGTTATCTTGCGGCGCGGGGGCGGCGGCCGGTGATGGGGGACCCGCCGCTCGCAGGTCCTGCGGGGAGTCGGCATGCGGTGCGCTCAGGTCCTCCGTCTCCCCTGGTGAGCCGGCGGCGGCCGACGCGTCCACGGCTCCACCGTCGCTGCCGCCGGGAGAGGCTGGCTCAGAGGCGGGCGGCGCGGCGTCGCCGTCCTCGGCCGGTGCAGGGGCGGACAGGTCCTCGGGCTGTCCCTCGCCGGCCGCAGGGTCAGTGGGCTCCTCCCTCTCTGGCTGGGTATGATCCGCGTGTTTGCTCGGTGACGTGAGATCCTCTGCCTGAACCGCCGCCGGCTCCGGCTGCCGCGCCACGCCCGCAGTCAAGTCCTGAGGCACCTCAGCGCTCATATCCATCGGCGCCTCCTCCTCCCCTGCCGGTGGAGCCGGGCGCGCGGCAGACAGGTCCTGCGGCCCGTCCAGATCGGGGCCGTCCAGTTCCACCACCTCCGCCGGCCGGCGGGCGGCCGACAGGTCCACCGCCCCCTCTCCGGTCGTGTCGGTGCGCGCTCGTTTGGCGGGCGGTGCCGACGGCGGTGGCGGCGCGTCGCGCGAACGGTGGTGGGCCGCCAGCTCGACCAGGGACGGGTCGGAGCAGCGGGCGGCCAGCAGCGCGGCGGTCGACTGCACCACCTTGGCCTCTGGGCAGCCGGAGCCGGGCCGCGGGAACAGCAGGTCGTGGAAGAACTCGATGATCTGGGCGCTGTGTTTGGCGGGCACGCACGGCTCCAGCGCCGATTTGAGCCGCTCCCAGTTGGTGCTACCGTCGGCCAGCGGCCGGGTGAAGTTGACCGCGTCCGGCGCGCCGCGGTAAAACTCGGCGCAGAGACGCTGCCGCCGGGACGGAGACGTCAGACACACCAGCGAATGTTGGAAATTAATGGGACTGTTTGTGTAACAGTCCATGATAGTTACATCTTAGATGCGATGGAAAGCATAGATGTTGATCCACGTTTCGAAAGAGAAGCAACAAGTTTTGCAAATTGAAACAAGACCAGACAATCGAATAGATGGTAAAGAAGAATATTTAGCATAACTACTGCAGCTGAGCATCGGTGGACTACGCAGAACTAAGCAGAACTAGGCTAGCTAAAGTAAAGCAAGCTATTTTGCGTCTAGGTTGAAAAGTTCCCAAACGTAGCTCTCAACACTCACCGTACTGTGCGCGAGTGCCCCTAACCTTTCTGTGAACGTATTAACCAACCTTTCCTGGAGTAGCGTTTACTCACCATTTCGGTGAGTGCGTCCTGGTGAATGTAAGAGTCGCGCACCACGCTGTACTCCATGGCCATGGGACGCGGGTAGTCGTGCGGGCGCATCTCGTGCGGCGGCATCACCCAGTAACAGAGCAGGTTAGACTGCAGCGGACGCTTCTTGTTCTTCGGGAACGGGGCTGGAACGATTGAAGTGGTGAATCACGAGTGAATGTAGTGGGGTTGCTGACAGCCTATCTTGCCTACGAGTTGTAAGTGGTGAAATCCCTAACACGTTGACTGCTATCAGTGATTGATATCGTGATTGATATCAAAATTGACATGCACTTGCGACTCAGTCTGCTACTACAACTCTAAATCTAGAATAACCTAACTGGCCTTTGAAGCTTCATCATCCCGTGGCCGTGCTTTCGACACCACGGCACACCCGCGGGGCACTCACTGTAGATCATGCCGACGCAGGGCGTGTAGCTGGCGTCGCTGCTTCCCTTCATCTTGAGCTGATAGTCGAGCTGGAGATCCGAGTCACGAATGGTCGGCGTCGGCGGGCTGTGGGGGTGCGAGTGGTACCACCCGACCTGAGGGTAACAGTTACACGTTAGCAGGGAGGGGGGGGGGGGCGAGTGGCGTCACCCGACCTGAGGGTAGCAGTTACATCACATGTTAGTTTTATGTGAGTGGTACCACCCGACCTAAGGTTAACAGTGGATGGTAAAAAAGCCGTCGATTAAGACAATGTCTGGTCTATTCCTGTCGATATGTGAGCCCTCGTCTAACGCTGGGTAACCGTGCTTACTCCTCAGCCTACCCGCTTAGCAGCTTACCCCACGCAGGCCCTATACCTGATCAAGATGGACCCCATACACAGAGGCCATCGGCCCTGTATCGGAGGACGCACCAGTGTGAGTTTACGCTCCTCGATGGCCGTATAGACGTCGTACTCGACGCGCTTCCATTTGCTCTTCTCACCGAGCCGACATCGGACGGGGAAGGCATGGGTGATGGCCAGGTCTGCAGACGTGGGGAGCGACGGTCACGTGGAGAACGAAAAGCGATCACACGGAGTAAAAGGCGGCCACATAGGGAGCAGACAGCATCCGTCACAATAGGAGCGAGGGAAAGTAGAGCGTAACAAAAGCACAGGGAAGTGGTTTAACTGAGAATCAATTCTTAGTTAACCCGCGAGTTGCTGGGGGGGGGGGGGCGTTAAACGCCCCCACTTTTTTCGCCGGGCCATAGCATAAAAATGGCGCGCCGTAGGCGCGCCAAATTTTGGGTACCTGTAGGGAATTGATTGAAGTCTATTGTGACAAAATTTCAAAAAAATCGGTCGGAAAAAATTTGAGATATCGAGGTTTTAGTGACGTCATGATTTCTGAGTTTTCGACCAAAAACGGCATATGTTCAAAAAATCATATAAAATCAGAGAATAGACATACAGACATGCCGTAAACGGCATTAGACTGCCAATGCCATGAACAATCAAATGGCTATCTTCGATTATTGATTATCGTTTCGCATTTGCCAAAATCTTGATCTGAATCTTGGCAATTTCTCGTGACTACTTCACGACCATGATACATACATTTCTTAAATTGAACTTTTTGAGCCAAACACGTACACATATGATAAGATGAATGTCACCATCGTGTTCTACGCCCCAAATTACCCATAAAACATGTGTCACAGGCTGCGAATATCAGTTTTGATTTTCGGAGATATGTGCCTACCCGGTTGACCTGACCTTGACCCTGACCTATGCTTGACTGACCCCTACATGGGGCTGACATGACACTCTTGTAGGCCTTATATGATGGATTGTGCATCGTTTTGACAGAGTTTATGACAAGAGGCGCTCATTGCGAAGTCCTGAAGTCCATGCTACTGAAAGCCCGATTTCAGGTGTTTGACCTGACCTTGACCCGACCTGTGACCTCAAAATTCAACTTTAAAGTACTCATCTGAAGCGTCTCGTCGCGTTCTTTCGTTTGCCGCCTCGTGCGTTTCGCTGCGCCTATTGGTTTTCGAGTTATCGGCTGGGGGCGTTTAACGCCCCTCCCCAGCAAACGGTGGGTGGCGAAATACCCCAGCAACTGCCGGGTTAAGGAGCTGGGAAGCACTACGACAGCTGCTGTAGATAGGATTTCAGCTGGGTGGATATTTGGGTAGATGAGACTTAAATGTGATGCGTAAATTTTATAGGTATTGAGCAGCATATGAATATTATAAATCAATCAATTACATAGATAGCCGATCAGCTTCGACTGACGATCTCATCAGCTATTCCCCAAATTCGTTCCACCACGCCGACCATTTCCACCACTTCTACCCACCGTGTGTGTTGACGTCCCAGCGTCCGGCGAGGTATCCGACCACCTCCGAGTCGGTGAGGTGCGAGTGGAATCCGACCACGGTCAGCGCCGTGCTGCTGGCCACGGTCACCGTGAACGGCTGGATCTTACCCAACTCGCTGAACGGCACACACTCCAGCAGCGTGCTCGGGTCGCTGCAACACAATGTCGAGGGTGCTAGGTCACAGGGAGGGTTAGGGTACGCGCAACTCATGTAACACAGTGGACGAATAAACTTATAGGTGTATCCAATACTGACTCATTAACAACATGTCTGAACATTTCGGAAACCGGGTGATGATAGGGCGTGTACACTGCACAACATCGTGTATACGTGATTATAATACGTCCTGTGCAATATTTCTAGCCCCAGCATACTCACTGGTCCGAGTTTCTGATGCCCAGTGCCTCGTGCTTGACGATTATCTTCTGAAGCATGGCACGCTTCTTCATTAAAAGGTCCTTCTTCTCGTCTTCACACGCTGAAACTGAGAAGCAAAGATAAACCAAGCGCTGAGTAAATAAGCAGAGGTGGAAAGGACGAATCTCTTAGAATAACTAGACTAAACTCAAAACTCATCCAACAGTCCTCTGTAATCCAACAATCCCTATGCAAATCATAAACAGCTCAACGAGCTGGAGAACTCACCACTCTCACATTCCTCCTCCTGCTCGCCCTGTTCCCGCTCACGCTCTCGGCGCTTCTTGAACAGCATGTTCTTGTAAATGTCCAGCTTCTTCCCACGGTACTTCACCTAAAGGCACCAAATAGCGTTATAACTCAATAGGTACAAGTCACGCATCATGATCAAATTCATGAGAGACTACGATTGATGAAATTATACAGAGGAGGCTGAAGGCAAGCTACAGTGTAAGTAGAACGATCAGATGAAACGAGAAGAAGAAAAGCAGACATGATTTAAACAGGTCAGTGTAACAAAAGGCAACACAGCAACTCAGTTCATTTCAGCTTTGCGTCATTTCCCCGTCTCCGGAAATAGCGCAAAGTGCCGGTCGGCTGAGAGGTAAGTAAAGGGCGGCGCCGATTCGGACCTCGGCGCCTCTTCTTACAGACGCCCAGCCGCAGCCGGACTTTTTGTCGGGGTTGACGATCTTCTTGCAGTGGATGGCCCAGGCGCTGGGCGAGGCGAACGTCTCGGCCGTCTCGTGCGAGCGGATCTGGCCGTCTGGCAGCAGGTCGCCGCGAAACTTCTGACCCTGTGCGGCAGATGGAGGGGTACTCGGGTCAGCGGCGAAGAGAAGACGTGCGGCAACCGCCCTGGAGACTGTGTGAGGCCACAGTTAATGATGTAAAACTCAGAATGTAAAGAATGCCATGCAAAATTGTCGGTTCTTTTGAACACGTTAGTTCGTTAGCTAACACTTCAGGTATAACGAGATAAATGGATATCGTCTCGATGAAGTCATCGCTGCACCTGACCAAACCATCTCTTCTGCAGCACCCAAGTACCTCTCATAGACCCTGCCTCTCGCACCAGCCCACTCACTAACCAGGTAGTCGATGGTCATGGCGCCCTCGCCGGGCTCCAGGAAGCCCTCCTTCATCAGCATGGGCAGGGTAACGCCGCGACCCGAGAGGCCAGCGCGGCCGCGCGCGCTGCGGCCCGACTGCAGCGTGTCAGAGTCGGCCGTCGACTGAAGGTCATCCTCCTCTTCCAGAAGGCTGACGTCATCGTCGTCAATCAGCGACTCGCCCGTCACAGACATGGCGCTGTGGGAGGAGGGGTATCACTGGAGACTCGCCCGTCACAGGAGGAAGGATATCACTGGAGACTCGCCCGTCACAAGCATGGCGCTGAGGGAGGAGGGATGTCAGTAGAGATTGGCCCATTGCTGGCATTTAGTGAAAGAGAACTGGCAGAATTGAATAAGAACAAACTCCTTTGACACATGGCATGGCACTGTGGGTGAGCAACTGTTCTTTATAGTTGGGTTCCCTACATCAGCGAGGCCAAACAAGAAAACTAAAATGGACACTGACAGAGAGATGCCAGCCTGACGATAACCGTCACTCTCCCCACACCCCAAACAAAATTATTTGAAACATTTCCAGTTAGAATGACGGCCTTAGTGTGTTTCACTTTTGCTTTCGCAGCTTTCGGATAAACATTGACCACCACTGCTCTCACACAACGTTCATTTCCCTTGCAACTTTATTTAGCTTCATCTACGCCCCAATATAAAAACCACTGGGTAACAATCCTGAGCATAGGCTACACAATACTGATACAAGCATAGTCATGGATGGCGCGCCCCTAATGCAGAACCAAGCCTCTCTGATCAGGTACAGTGGAGAGAAGCAAAAAACAAATACGATCCCTCATAAGCAGTCGCGCGAGCGACGTGCGTGGGCTCACTACTTCGTGAAACGCTGGTATAAACACGCTAACTACCTCAGGCAATTATAACGATATGACGCCTAAGCAAGCAGCAACAATCAACAACTATACACAATGTCTTTTCAGATGAAATCCTCGGGCACACTGCCGGTTTACCCAATGCTCATAAATAGTGGGCGAGCGGCGATTATCAAGCGATTATTGTTAGGTCTCGGGATAAAGTAAGGCCATTAAATATGAGCAGTAAGGTCTGTTACGGCACCAGTCATAACTGAAGTCACCTTGCCTGCCAGGCCTCGCTGTCACACAGCCCCGGCCAACCGACACCAGTCGTCAAATAAGTGCATAGACAAGTCACACTACATCCCTGACTGGTGCCGGTTCCGTTCACCCGCCCAGATCGGCACCTTCAGCAGTCACAGATCTCGCAGGAAGCCCTAACACCGCACAGTCTGCCTGTTCAGGCACAAACAGCACTCTATAGGTAGCGTCCACTCGGTTAGCCCGACTGCACTAACGCCACACTCGCAATCCAGCGGCGACCCTCGGCTGCAGCCAGCTCCGGAGTTCCTCCTATCAGAGACAGCCCCGCTCAGCTGGAGGTCATCCAGAACTGGAGCAGCGGCAGGTCACACGGCTGACAGCCCAGCGCGGCGATGAACGCCTGCGTGTCGGCCTGCGACCGGCCGCCGTCACCGTGCTCGCCGCTCCAGTACTCAAACAGCTGCTCCGACTTGCTCTTCCAGTCCTGGCGCAGCGAGGCCAGCCGGTGGTCGAGCAGGGCGTCCGGCAGCCGCTGGTTGGCCAGCGCCGCGTCCAGCTGCGCCACCAGTGTCGGCGGCAGGCCGGGCCGCGCCGTCACCACCTCCAGCGCGGCGCGCCGCTCCTCGCCGCCGTCACCGAGCCGCGCCACGATCACCGACTTGGCCAGCTGGGCGGGCAGGCGCGCGTCCGGCGGCACGCCCAGCAGGTTACACCGGTGCGGCTGCTGGTAGGCCGAGCTGTACGGCAGAGGCGAGTAGCAGCTGGCTGGCAACAGCAGTCGAAACGCGTCGATCACAGAGGTTACATCGTTCTCGCGGCCGCGCAGCACCAGCTGATGGCCGACCAGCACGTGACTGATGATGTCACGGAAGTTCTCCGGGCCGAGCTCGGTGCGCAGTTGCCGCAGCCGCGGCCCGAGCAGCGTGTGGAGTGCTGTGGTGATCGGCGGCAGCTGGGACACGCCGCGCGCCGCCGGGGCCGCGCCGCCGCCCAGCGCCACGAACCGGTTCTCACCGGAACGCAGTATGAAGGTGAACAGCTGGTGGAGGCTGCGGTAGACGTCCGGCGCACCGGTGATCTCGGCCAGCGAGCGGCTCGGTTTGACGCTCTGAGAAGAGCGGCGCCGTGGCGCGCGCGGACGGTTGACCAGTAGAGGGAAGTCCTCCATGGCCAGCGGCTCGTCCTCGGCGTCGAACACGCGGCTGGCGCTGGTCTGCAGGTCTCGGCCGATCTGGCGCAGCTGCTGTCCGTAGAAGCTCCAGTTGCGCAGCAGGAGGTGTTTGTCGGCGGACAGCACCACGATGCTGTAGTTGCGCTGCGAGCCGCGCGCGTTCACGTCGCTGAGGCTGAAGTTGTGCGAGATGACGTGGCCGCGCACCTCGTCGCCAAAGTAGATGACGCCGTCGGGTCCGGGGCACACCTCGCAGCTGAGACTGCGCGCGCAGCCCTGGCGCAGTAGCGCCGCCTGGTCCGGGTCGGAGGGCACCTGCTGGCTGCAGTACCACCGGCCGGCCACCTCAGAGTCCTGGCTGCAGAAGCCGCCGTCCGGGGTGGCCACTGACGTGCAGCCCTCGCAGCGGTCGGCGCGCGGCGGGCCCGCCGGGTCGGCCGCCGGCTCCGGCTGGTGCGCCGCGCGCACCTCCGTCGTGAAGACGACGCGCGGCCCGTGCAGCTCACAGAAGTGGCACAGCGCCAGCAGCGGAGACGACATGGCGGGCGGCGCCGGCCCCGCGCCACCGGCCGTCTGCAACACATGCCAGGTCTTGCTCATGTGCTCTTGGATGGTTGGTGCACTGGCTTCAGCAATCTGACAGGCTACAGCCTTGTCAGCCAGCTAACTGGCTTCAATAAAGTTCCATCCTGGGCTCGGAGTTCATCATGATAATGCCATTCAGCCATTTGTTGTGATGATGCTTATCATGTGCACAAAGAACTCACTTTACACTCATTGCATCACAGTCTTACACTAGTGATGCATGCACATTGCACTGACTTGAAGTGCTAATATTTAAAACAAATTGAAATAATAACTGAAGACACAATGGTGTATAATCTCAGAGGAAATAATCTACTATTCACACCACCTGATTAAGTCAAACGACACTACATTGCTTTACAATAGTGTACCATTCACCTACCTACTACTACTCTACTCCAACAGTGGAAATAAACTTAGTGATCTAAGCACAAATTGCAAAAACTGGTAAAGCACACAGTAATTTCTTCCCGCCGAAGGGAGTTCAACCTTAAATCTCAGACTCATCAGAGCTCAAAATTCATTTTCACGTGACCTTCCCACTCCGCAAATCAAAACTTATAAACCATAAAACCCTGCGGCCTGCATTGAATGCCTGGATTTGTAGGTACTGATAGTATGTTCGAATTGTGACTTAATAAACTTGCAGCTGTCTCAAGCCCACAGCCCATCACCATACCTCTAATGGTTTATGCAGAAGTGTGACACCTGCTCAATGACAACCGATTCATATCAAGATTGTTACGTTTCAGTTTGATGGTTCAGGTTAGGTCAGGTTAGAACATTTTCCTTATGTCTTGTTACTTCTGCTCATAGTGTACCTCATTTTTAACATCGAATGATCGTATGAGCACTTTTCTAGGTAGATATATGGTTTATGACAATATGGTAGGTATGGCTTTTTTTAAACGACTACCAAAATTTTGAGCCTAGGCCCTAGGGTGCAAAAGGGCGATTTCACTTTCCCTCGTTCAGCATACAAGAAAAAATGATTTTAACGACACAAACAGAGTGACTTAGAGTTAGCATACCAGTTTGATGACCAAGAGAGCTTACCCTTGAAAACAAATGCGGAAATTCAATGTAATTCAAGACAAACACGCATGCAAACACACATAAGCAGCGACGACACCGAATGCGCGTGTTTCAAGGATGGTTGAAAACGATAATTACATTACCTTATTTTTTAACTAAAAATTGCGTCAATTCGATATTTTGCTAAAATACTTAATATTTGACTTCACCTATTTTTCTTTCAAACATATTTTTCTTTTAAAAAAATTACAATTTGTAATTCAGAAAACGATAGATCACAATTTTTTTCGAAATTGTGAGCAAACTGCTTTGGACTGCTGATACTGCTAAACCTAGAAGAATTTTGCCAAGGTACATATACATGGGGCCTGTTCCAGCGCCTCCAGAAGAAATTCTTGACTGGAGGCTCTACCAGAGGTTTTACTGGAGGCGCTGGAACGCAATCTGGAGATTTCTGGAGATTGGCGTCATAGATACCAAAAGAATGACGATTGTTCTCTCTTGAAACGCAAAATTTGTTTTCAATTTTAGTTAAAAAGATAAATAAAATTATAGCAATGTAATTTTCTTTACATTCAAGTTGTAAAATAATCAGTCAAATGTCCTTTGTTTACATTCGTGATTGTCACATGTGCACCATAATTGTAGACCAGAGCCTCCAGAGAAATTTGGACCTCTCAACTCTCTGGAGGCTACTGGAGGTTTCTGGAGCTTTGGCGAGAGCTTTCTGGAGCTTTCTGGAGGCGCTGGAACGCTCTCTGGAGGATTCTAGAGCTTTCTGGAGCTTTCTGGAGGTTTCTGGAGGCGCTGGAACAGGCCCATGGTCAAGGCAGGACCAAAATAGTGCAATCGATTATGTCCTCGCAAATAGGAGGTGCTATCAGCGTATTGAGAGCATGACAATTGATGAAGAGAGGGAGCTTTTTGACCTCTCAGATCACCATATGATCTCGGTCAGAATGGAAATACCCACAAGAAACCAAAGCTTTAATAAGGGAACGACAAGTGTCAGAGAATTCTGGAAGGTAGATGCTGGCTCATTGGAACTCTTCGGAGAAGAGATGCAGAGAAGGCTCCGAAATGAGAACATAACAAACATAGAGGAGCTCAATGGCCTGATGACAGAAGTGGCCAACAGCAAGTTAAAAGCAACATACCGCAAGAAAAGCCTGATAGGGCAACAGGTGAAAGAAAAGCCATGGGTCACAGATGAAATCAGGGAAGCTATCAAGAAACGCAGGGCCATAAACCGGGAAAAACGAAACACCAAAGACAAAGATCAAGAGAAGCTGCTCAATGAACAGTATAAAATACAGAAAAAGAAGGTCCAGGAAATGGTGAAAGAGGCTGTGACAAAATCAGAAAAGAAGACAACTGAAGAAATCAGGAACAGTGCTAACAAGAGCAAGTCAATGTTTGAAAACATTGACAAACTAAGGAAGAAGGAGAGAAACCAAGAAGACATACAACTGTATGACAATGAAGGCAAGAAACTGGAACCAGAAGTGGAAGAAGAGGAGTTGGTGAAATTCTGGAAAACTGTGTACCAGCAACACTCAAACGAGATCAGTAAAATATGGAACAGTGATGTGAAGAAGGAATATGAAGAAGGTATGAGGAGAACTGTGCACGAGGGACCCCACTTCCCGAGACACATGAGAGAGTTGATGGATATGGCTCTCCCTGTGAGACAGGAAATATCACAGATGAACCCCACACAGATTGAAGTAGAAGATGTGAAAAAAGCAGTATCCGGACTGAAGAACAAAACTGCACCAGGACCAGACTTGCTCAAACCGGAACTATACAAAGCACTCGTAATGACGAAGGAAGGCCTAGATACCCTAACAAGCTGTCTACAACAGCAACTGGATGCCGACTCGAAGCCAGATTCGTGGAAGACGTCGAAGACTAAAATGATCCCCAAGATCAAGAAACCCACTGCAAAAGACTTGCGTCCCATAGCGTTGACAAACATATCATACAAGCTGTTCATGAGTATTCTGAAGGATAAAATTGAGAGTCACTTAAAGTATAATGATGAAATGCTAGAGATACAAGCAGGTTTCACTAGTGGGGGGAAGGTTGAAGACAATTTATTCCTATTGCGTTACTGCGTTGAAGACAGCTTTCGCAGGAAAAAGCCATTGTTTGTGACAGCCATTGACTATTCGAAGGCCTTCGATTCGGTTAATAGAGCTGAAATGGTAGAAGCCCTGAAGTTCTACAAGATCGACTCCAAAATCATTGATGCTACGACGCAAATCTACCAGGGAGACTCAACGAAAATCAAGCTCAATGACAGGACTGAAGCAGTCATCGACGTCACATCAGGAATACGACAAGGATGCAATGGGTCAACGACAAGCTTCAAGATTGTAACATACCTTATCGCCAAAGCTCTGACAGATACGGGACTGGGCTTCAAAAATGATATTGTCCGAATCCCAGTGTTGTTCTTTGCTGACGACGGACTCGTCCTAACTGAGACTTTACAGGAGACAGAGCACCTAGTGACAACGCTGGCGGACATCAGTGGCAAGTTCGGTTTGAAGATAAACAAAGACAAGAGCGCGGTCATCATCTACAATTGTCAGGAGCAACCCAAGGTCATCGCAGACATCCCTGTGGTTCAACAGATCAAGTACCTGGGAGTTTGTGTCACAAACAAGAAAAGGCTCTTCAAGGAACACATCAACGTAATGCATCAGAAGTCCCAAAAGCTGGCCAACATGACCTACGGAATAACGCAAAAATGCTGCAACAAGCTGATGATTGGCAAGTGCTATTGGAAATGTCTGTCGCTCCCTTCGTTTCTTCATGGGGCGAGCATCCTGAGCCTCACGGACGCAGACATCAAGAAGCTCCAAGTATGTGAGAATGGAGTGTTCAGACAAATTCTGGGAGCACCGAGATACACGCCGATCTGTACGCTCAGAGGTGAGGTGGGAACCTCCCTGATGAAGACCAGGATCATGGAAGGGCACTTGCAGTTCCTGAGAGGCGCGATGCAAGGAAGCAACGACCTCATCAGAAGGATCGCCAGAGCAGAACTAGAAGTGCGGAAAAGTACATGGGCGAAGACAACGAAACGGTACCTGGAAGCTGTGGGATTAAATGCTGCAGAACTGGAGAGGATGAACAAGTCTACCTTGAAGAAACGCCTGAAAGAGTGGGATGACAAACAGTGGAAAGAAGAGCTCGAGGCCAAGTCCAGTATAATGGTATACCGATCTGCCAAAACAGCCATTAAAGAAGATCCGATCTACGATAACACAGCATCGTCAATCATACTCTTCCAGGCCAGATCCAACACGCTCCCGCTGGAGACTAGGAAGAGACACACTGGCGAAGAAACCACGTGTCTCCTGTGTGGAGATGGGGAGGAAGACCAGCACCACTTCCTGCTTGAGTGCACCAAACTCGCAGAAGAACGGCTCAAGATGACTTCACTCCAACGCCCACACCAAGAAGACCAACTAGAAGTCCTGAAGACATTCCTCTTCAATGAAAGCACGGAAGAGATGGAGAAGAACAAGGAGGGACTCTACAAGCTCTGGAGACTGAGGAAGAGGAAACTGGTGACCGTGACGGATGGTGAGCAGAGGACTGGAGCGGACAGAAGCTGACTTGTCTAATTCTGTCCAGGTTACATCCTAACCATATCCCAGAAACCTCCCACCACCCGACGCGCGTTTATAGGGCTACCGATGCAACCGGTGACAGCCCGACCACATCATCATCATCATCATCATCATCATCATTTGGAAACCATTCGCACAGCAGCTGTTGATGCTATGTGCAACAGATTTCCATGGTAACATACATGAAAACCTTGATGAAAACCAATCAAAAGCTGGTATAATGGAAAATGTAAGTGTGGTAAGATTTTCTGCAACGATTCTGTATACTAAGTAATCAAATACTGTCAAATACTGTAGGAATGGACTTTCAGGGCCTTGAATGTGCTTGAATGGACTTATTTGGATTCAAAGCACATTATTCCTGCCTGTAGATTATCTTGAATGATTCTGGTTGTTCAAAATTATTTTCATTTTATCTTATGAGGAATGAGGGAAATCGTGGGTTAGAGCAGTCTTTAATTGAAGCGCCCGTTTTCCTGCGCTGCAAATGTCAAAGCTACGCTTTATTTGGTGTATCAGCTTAGTTTAATAATTTTTATAAAAAAAGCATTACCAAACCTTACCTGAATTATTCTCAAAATTATTTATTAACTACATATGCTCCACGTAACCTCCCTAATGCTTCTATTAGTCTAAAACCTACCATTAGCATTCACAGTGCTTAAGCCGAAGGCCAACGAAAGTTGAGCAATGTTCATTTCTGCTCCCAAATTAGAAGGCATAGACAGAAAAGGCATAGTGTACCATAGGTCCTGCTGCTACATAGGGTGTGTTAACACTGCACTTATATATTATGATATTTGTGTAGCATGGTTTGTTGCATAGGTGGAGATTGTGCTGAACTGGGGCTGCCCAAGCTCTCCCAATTCCATGCTGGCCTGGTTTTGGAATTTGGAGCCACAACAGATCAACAGCCACAACTTATATGGCCTTGCAACAGATCAATATAGCATAGGACAGGGTTACCTCTTGGGCAGCAGTAGATTTGCTATACCTGGGAGTTGGGACCTGGGCAGTGGGCACCCCCAGTTCTGTACAAACCTCCGCCTATAGTGTGTTGGTGTAACTCATGTAGGTACGTCCTACTGTGTGCCTCCTGTCACACTCACTACTCACTTGTTAGAAGACTGAACAATGAACATGGAGCTGCTTTGCTTATGTCTTGCATTGATGCCAACTGTCAAGCTGATGTAATGCAGGACATTTAGCTGTATGTCAACAAGCTCTTTTTGATGTAGGGCTGGCCTGAAACTGCTTGGCTGATTTTATACCATACACAATAATACAGCTATAAAGTATAAATACACTTACCTACAAATGCAGTGAATCAATAGATGCATGATGATATGTATGCTTTATTACTCTTTTATAGTGTGTTATGCCTGCTGAGAGCTGAGGGTACTGAAGCTGGCATGCGATGAACCGTTCCCTGCTGGCGGCCTCTGGAGCTGTCCTGGCTGGCTGTGTCATCTCAGGCTCAGCCCTGGACTGGTGGCCACGGCTGTTGTTCAGCCTTGCCTGCCTGCTGACGGTGGTGGTAGGGGCCATCCTGGCTGTCTGGGTTCACATCAAGCTGGGACAGCCACAAAAGGTCACCATCAAAAGACCAGTGCCTGTGGACCATGTAAAAAATGCACTGAAGGTGAGAACTCATGGTTGGAACGTGGAATGTGCCATGCTGGTCACTAATATGCATTGCAAGTGCCTAGTTGAATAGAAGGTTAGAGCTATCTGATGCAGAAGATTGCTTGTCGATCGGTCGAGCGGATGCCGAGATATAAGGCCATGAAAAGCGTCATGGGGCCGGGTCAGACCATGGCTCATATTTTTTTTTTTTAACCACAGATAAGCTCGCATACTCGGGAACGAAGCTTTTGTTGGTGGAAACGTTACGTACTTGTTGGAAACTAACCAGTTAACCGGTTGACACCAGATTGTATCAACCGGCCGTTCGTTTGCAATTTTTATTATTCACGTTATGTTTTCTTTTAGTTCCATCATCGTACGTTTTTTCCGTCGGCATTCTGTCGTAGGCTGTAGAGCTGTGGACATTCAGTTACCGTAGGTACCGCTGACTCCCTGTGCGTTTGTGTGTCGCTCAGTGCGGCAGCCAGCAGGACAAGACGTCCGGCTACCAGCGGCCGCCGATCGTCAGCCGCGCCGTGGACGAGGTGCTCGCGGAAATCGTGTCGCACGTGGTCGACGATTTCTTTAGCAGCTGGTACTCGCAGCTCGCCTTCGAACCCGACCTCCAGGCGCAGGCCATCAAGTACGGCTGGCTTTTGCTTTTTCATCGTTTTATTTTTATTTCTAAGAATGTTTCCACTTTTAGTTATGTATTAATCGAAAGCCCTTGCTAACTCTGGCTGTAATTTTGATTGTTTGCCGTAGGAACGAGATATGGGAATCCCTGCGACGACTGCAGGATCGGCTCAACGCCATCGACCATGTAAACTTTATCGCTACGGACGTCTTTAACAAGATCAAGCAGCACTTCCAGCGGATCAGAATCGCGCACGAGATGAGGTGTGTTGTCTTATCCGCATGATTGTACTGAGTACATTGTTATGAATGCTGGAGCGATTCAATCGCTTGACATCTTGTACGTAAAGACGTGCAGGTATCCATCAGCTCACTGCAAGTCAATCTGTCTAATGTCTTTGTGGCTATCTATGACAGATACGAATTTAGCTACCAGCTCAGCCGCCCGTCGCACCCTACTCGGCCCACCCATCCTCCTCCCGTCCGTCTGACCCTCTACCCGGTCCGGCAGTGACGGCAAGACCACACTGCCGATGTACACGCTCGTCTCGTACCTGGCCAACCCGGAGCGGGAGCTGCAGTTTTTGCGCAGCGTCGCCGAGGTGGTCATCATGATCCTGCTGCCGCCCGACTACAGCCGCTGCGTGCCCGTCCGACAGCTGCTCAGGGAGACCCTCGCCTGCCACGGTGAGACGAGTGGGAGCGGGGCGCCGCGGGGCTGGCTGAGTGGTACTGCGATATACAGTACATACAGTATGTATACTCTTGCTGCGGTGGATGTGATGTGATTCAGATATTTTGCCGACTGTAAGAGCACAGTTAAAACGTTGACACAAGTTAATGCCATTTAAACTTTGATGATTCAAGCTGCATAAGTAGTAAACTGCGGCCGGTGAGTCACCTCTAATCCAATATCCCCCCGTCCCTACCAGTGTTTCAGCCTGCGATCGACCTGCTGTGTGACCCGGACTTTATCAACCAGAAGGTGTACGAGTACGTGCACCACCACCAGCTGTGGCGCGAGCTTCACCAGCGCACATACACCTACGCCGCCAGCTACGAGGACTTCATCGGCATCATACAGGAGAGCAACGACGTGGACGAGCTCAAACACATCAGGTGAGGCACCGCTGCGGCCGTTTGTGGCGAACGGTTTGTCGGGAATTTCATAGCCTGTCTGAGATTTGTGTTGATGATTTTGCTTAATGAGCTTGGTTTTCAATTCCTTGAGGTTTGGTAAATCCCTTGACATTGACGGCAAAGGTCGTGGCCGGCGTGTTTCCTTCGTCCAGGTTCAATATCGTGACAGAGATTATGCAGGCGACCACGATCAACAACCTGAAGCGAGCGCGGGGGATGAAGTTGACTCAAGACCGCCGGCCGCAGGGCTCCTCCAAAGGTGATCTGCTCCAGGTCAGTGCACCATGTATGCTACAAAACGCCTACTTACTCTCTCATATAAAAAATATAAATGCATGGTGGTCGGAGTTATATGGAATCTTTATGATGTTTCTGATAGTCTTATTGAATGTCTGGCTGCGTTGTTTTAGTTAAGTCACCACGTTTCGTTTCTGCCATGTTGCTATCGTCGATATGGCATTGGCAATATCCGTTGTAACCGGGCACCTGTCCGATGCTTCTGCACCAGGCGCGGAACCTGAAGCGCTACATCAACCAGCTGACCTACGCCAAAACTCAGTGCGAAAAGCGCATCAAGAGCGTGGGCGGCATGGGCTACCTCACCGAAATCGACTCGCCAGAGTCCTCCGACTCTCAGCTCATCGGTAGAAAGGTACGGCGCCCTTCGCCATGCTCTGCAAGAATATGCATAATGTTGGTTGATGTTGGTTGGTTCACGTGTATTTATTGTCTTTGCAAACCACTCGAATGCTCAATTTTCCGGTAACAACTACTTTTGTTCGTTGTGCCAGCGCCTTACTATATTATTTACGCGACGTACGTATTTTAGCCGGTGCGATGATTCTGTTGATCGCTAGAATAGCATTGTCTTTCTCAATTGTCTTTTTCAGAGAAACTTGAATGTAAGCATCCGATATTTCATTCATATTTTACCAGCTTCATGCTAAAATGCCGTGTCCAAGTGAGACTGTTGTAGGTACTTGGCCCCTCTACCCAAAGTTTTAATGTTCTCCCGCCGTCGTCGCCAGGTCCTGTCGTTCGGTGTGATCATGGAGTCGGCGTACGCGCGCCGCTACCTGCTGCGCTACCTCGAGTCCGAGGGCCAGGAGAACCTGCTGCTATTCTGGAACGCCGTCAACGAGCTGCGCACGTGCCGCAAACACATGCTGCACGCGCTGGGCGCCGAGATCTACCAGACCTACCTGGCCGGGATATACGGTGTCATTCGGCTCGATAAGGTCAGTGAGCTGAGGTAGACCGTAGACCGAGTTAGAGTGGTGCGCTGGCTGCAAACGCTTAAAATTCGTAGAAGGATTACGCTCTTTGCACGGCGTAAATATTACTATGACTAGGAATATCAGACATGATGCGATCAAATTTCGAATAAATCTGCAGAAGCATTCGCACGTTGAGCAAGCCGGCCAAAACGCTTACCGCTGCTTGCCTGCCGTCGCCAGGTGTCTCTGAAGCGGATCGAGAGTTTTCTGATCGGCGACCGGGGCCCGGAGATCTTCCTGGAGCTGCAGGAGGAGGTGCAGAGTCAGCTGGAGAACAAGCACTACCACCGCTTCCTGGTCAGCCCGCTCTACAACAAGATGATGCTGGACGCAGAGGAGGCCGGCATCGACTTCATCAACGCCACCGTCGGTGAGCCGGGGCGGGCGGCAGCGCGAGAGAAATCTGCGTATTTGAGTCTTTGGTGAGCAGTTGTATATCATAATAGGCGGCGAGATGGATTGTTGTTACTCGGTCATCGACTTTCCAATTGTAGAAAGGTCGTGCCCAGTCGCAGCTGTCTCGCTCGTGTATAGGGTCAGGGAGCGTAACTAGGACTTCGCTAACAGTCAGACCGCGTCTATTCCCGCAGCTAACCACGAGGACCACCCGGAGGGTCTGGGCTCCGAGATGGGCGACACCAACCTCTCCGACCACTCGTCATTCGCGAGACTCAAGCTGGACCAGCTGGCCGAGAAATTGCGAACAAAGTCCCAGGTAAGATCGCTCATCGCTGGACCGCGAAATGGTCTCCGGTGAGTTATAACTGGACTGTTACTTCCGGGGGGCACGGACAAGGATGTAGACTTGTTGCTTGGCGATGTGAACACTGGCTCACAAATTAGCAGGGATTTACACCAATGTGACCATCGCTCCGTAACTGTCACCCTGATTCTGACGTGTCTCTGGTTTCCCTTCTCACAGGCTCTGGAGGCCATGAAGACGGGCACCCGTCCGGACCCGAAGATGGTCTCTATCTTGGAGCAGGAGGTGGATAATCTGGCCGGAGAGCGCCGGGAGCTGGAGGCGCACATAGAGAGGACAGACGTGTGGACGCAGCATCTGGGTCACTGGACGGCCGACGTGCACTCGGCGGAGGTGGGTGGACAGTGGGACTGGGGACAGACGTGTAGACAGGTGTGTGGACGCAACACCTGGGCCACTGGACGGCCGACGTCCATTCGGCTGAGGTGAGGGGTGTGGAAACAGACGTGTGAATTAAACACCGTGGACTTACCGGACTTACCACTTATCCCAACCTTTCAATGAACACCTGAGTCCAAGCGTGACGCCCCCACGCCACCCCCAGGTGCTGGAGGAGAAGGACATGCCTGTGTTCGTGCTGGTCGTGTACCTGGTGGCCTCCCCGGCCGGCGCGGTGGAGGCGGCCGACGCCACCTCCCCGGACGAGCCGGGCTCGCCGGCCGACCCGGCGGCCGGGAAGCGTCCGCTGGACGCCCTGCTGGACAACCAGCGCGGCTGGGTGGTGATCCGACGGCTCACCGACCTGCTGCACGTGCACGGAAAACTCTGGTCAGTTCAGGAGCGGAGTGAGCCGGAGTGGTGTATGGTGTTGAAGGATAGGGATTGGATGGAGTGTGTGTCGTATGGATTCAAAGTTCCGACGAGGGACTGAGTGTCTGAATGGTGGTCATAACATAGGGCCGAAGTTTAGAGAAATGGTCCGTGGGCGTGAGTAGCTTGTGTTCTTACAGAAATAGCGTATGGCTGTATCTGCGTGTTTTATTTGCATTCGTGGATTCCCTTGAAAAGGCTATGCTGCTGGCACAGATTCCCGTATACCCTCAAACTTTTATCCAGACTGAACCGTCGTTGTTCGTCCCACAGTCAGATCTCACCGTCGCTGAAGTCGGCCGAGCTGCCGCCTCTTCCGAGCAAGTCGCTGTTCAGCAAGGGCTGCGACAGGGCGTACCTGGAGAGGGCCAAGATCAAAGTACAAAACTACCTCACGGTGAGTTTGACGATCTTGCTTTGTGTTAGAGCTGCGGTGGGCGGCGGTAGCAATGGCTTCTTGGATTCGTATGGAACTTTCAGCGGAGATTCTGTTTCATTATAGCCATTCAAGTTCATCCACGTTCCAGGATGAAAAGTGCCAGATAAAATAATAACGCAAGATCCAAGGACGCCAAAGCTGCCAGAGCTGTTATTTGATTTCCTGGCGAGCAAAGGCTGCCAATTTAGGTTTATTCCTCAAATCGTCTGGTGGCTAAGTCGTCCTGCGCTTTTCTCGACGCATCATGTGCTAATTTCTTGTATTCGCATCTGACACTGTGCCACTGCCTTCGCAGATGGTTCTTGCCGACCAGCGTCTGAACAAGAGCGAGGTCATCTACACATTCCTCAGTCCCAGCCCCGAACACCTCCTGTTTCCAGGCACGTCGCAGAAAAAGTCCACATTCTTCTCCATATTCAAAGGGTGAGTGAGTACACTTGTCGGTGACGATAAATACAAACCAGTATGGTTACCAAACACTGAAGATGCGAGCGTGCTGTATGTGTTTGGTCTGTACATTGCGTATAACCGTGCACGTTTCAAATGTCTGAAGTTGTATGCCATGACTGCCATCCGACCTCAGCCTGTGACGCGTCTGCCCCCGGCCAGGTCGGGCGGGGCGGCGGACGACGGCGGCGCCGAGAGCGACGACGACGACATTCTGTTCCTGGACGGCGCCGACGCGCGGCCCGAGGTGCGGGACGACTTCGCCGAGCCGCTCTACGGCCTCATCGCGGAGGTGAGGTGTAGCGGGGGCACGGTTCGTCGGAAGGTCATCTCAGGCTCAAAAGAAACGGTATATACCATTCGAAAGCTGACGGTGAGCTGAATCCAAAAATGTAATTTTTATCAAAATCGATCGATGGCCTTTTTTGAAAATTGCGTTTTTGTAAAAACTTAATAAAATTTTATTAAACGGGCTGTCCCAGACATTCTTGAAAACATAAACATGTATTTTTTAAGTTCCAGTGAAAGCTGAACGCCAAAAGAACAATATTTAGCGAAGCAATATTTCCAAACATTAATATGCGTCTCCCACAGCCGACAATAAGGCGCAATCACACAGCTCAGTGTCACGATGGACCAAAGTCAGCCACACAGAAGCGTGAAATGGCCCTTATCGACTCGCAGACCCGGCGCTCTCGGCCCGCCTGACCGGCCACGGAAAGAACGTTCGGCTCTCGTTCTACTAAACAAATGTCATATTTGTCAGTTTAACTGTCCACATCGCTATTAAAGTTATTCAGGATACCTGTGAAGAAAACTCATTGTTCTGTCATCTTTACATCATGCATTAATTTTCATTTGTTCATGTCTCCTTTGCTCAATCGAGCTTGGCATCATGCCCATATAAGGAAAAATGGCCGCGCTGAAATGTCAGAGGCTGCACCGGCCTCAGCTCGGGTGGAGTGGGGGTAGCGCCCGGCGGGGCAGGGTAACCTTTGACCGGTCGCACGGCCGAGCAGCTGTCACCAGTACAGCCTCTGACAGTGAAACCCCGCTCACTTCCCCTGCGCGAGCACTGGTCGCAGCTGGATGGAACAAAACATGTAAAAGAAAAATGTAAATTAAAGCATGTTGTAAATCAAGCAGAACAATGAAATTTCTTCACAGGTATCCTGAATAACTTTAATAGCGATATGGACAGTTAAATTGACAAATATGACATTTGTTTAGTAGAACGAGAGCCGAACGTTCTTTCCGTGGCCGGTCAGGCGGGCCGAGAGCGCCGGGTCTGCGAGTCGATAAGGGTCATTTCACGCTTCTGTGTGGCTGACTTTGGTCCATCGTGACACTGAGCTGTGTGATTGCGCCTTATTATCGGCTGTGAGAGACGCATATTAATGTTTGGAAATATTGCTTCGCTAAATATTGTTCTTTTGGCGTTCAGCTTTCACTGGAACTCAAAAATACATGTTTATGTTTTCAAGAATGTCCGGGACAGCCCGTTGAATAAAAGATTATTAAGTTTTTACAAAAACGCAATTTTCAAAAAAGGCCATCGATCGATTTTGATAAAAATTACATTTTTGGATTCAGCTCACCGTCAGCTTTTGAATGGTAAATACCGTTTCTTTTGAGCCTGAGATGACCTTCCGACGAACCGTGGGGGCGATGTTAGTGCTGTTGTGTGTAGCATCAGCTTATCGAAACAGCGCCAGATTTTTGGGCCGGGTGATATTACAAGGTAACTTGCGAAACAAGCCGAATGTGCGGAACTATGTGCGTTTAGCTGGAATGGATTTGATAGTCAAGCACCACATGACTCAAATGATTCATGCTCGCAAATCAGGGTTTGGCGTGTTCTCATTGTTACTGAATGTTAATTGCCACTGACCTGACCTCGGCTCCGACCTCCTCAGGTGTTTGACCTGTCGGGCAAGTGGCTGCGCAAGACGCTCATGTCGTTCGTACAGATCACCTACGGGCGCACCATCAGCCGTCAGATCCGCGACACGCTCTCGTGGTGTTTCTCCGAGAGCCAGCTGCTCTATTACGCCACCACACTGCGCGAGGCGTGCTGGCCGGGCGGCAAGCGGCCGCCGCCGGCGCCGCCGCGGTCACAACAGGACATGGAGAGGACCAGGTGGGTGGAACGGGGTAGATCGACACTGAGACGAGGAGAATTGGGCTTTCTTGATGCTGAACCCTTTTCCTTTTCGAGAAAGAACGGTGCATGGCCAGTCACGTCGAACAATCCTTGGATTTTCCTAGGAGCTTACTGACGCGAACTGGGAAGTGGGATCGCTGGCGAATGCATACCACGTCTTATTTCCGTAACTTGACGAAAGACCGTTACTCACCTTGAGCTTCCTATCATCCCTTAGCTACGAGAAAGAAAAGATAGTGACATCTCACGGTCATATTATGACGCCACATCTGCCCCTGGTCAGGCAGGAGACGCGTGAGCTGCTGGTGAACAACGCGGCCGAGCTGCTCATAATCATATTTTGACGCCACGTCTGTTCCTCATTAGGCAGGAGACGCGCGAGCTGCTGGTGAACAACGTGCCCGAGCTGCTGACCAACCTGCTGGGCCTGCACAACTCGCGGCTGGGCGGCGTCAAGGTGTTCGAGACGCTGCAGGACGTCCGCCTCAACAAGCACCTGTTCTACACTGTGCTGGAGGCGTTCATCCCGCAGCTATTCCCAGAACTCGGCGGGGGGCCGCACACCACCAACGTGTGAGCGTTGGAGGCGTTGAAGGGTGAACAGGGTACCACGGACGGTCACCGGTGGGCGGCGGCTGAACAATGATTCCAGCTGAACTCGGTGTTAGCTCTGCTGGCAGCCCAGTCTGCCGCTATCGCTTGTTGAACTCTGATTCTTCTACGTTCGCTGCGCCAATAGAAGCTGAAGAGAACCTGAGGCCACTGGAATGAATACGGACAATTTGCAGCTCTGGGTCTGAACTCTGAACTGAATAGGCGGTCGATAGCTAATGCTGACCCCGTGTGGCCTCTCAGGTCATAGTCAGGCGCACTGCGTACATGACATTGCCCTAGTCCGAATCGAGAAGCGTCTTGATCTGAAGGCTAAGGAGCTGTGAGTGTTATTGCTGGCGTTTTAGCGCCATTGTTTGAAAAAGTATTTGGGTCTCTACCGGGTGATATTCGTTTGAGGCATCAAATATGTTATGATTATTCTTATACGTCACATATTTCTGAGATGTTCAACATTCTCCATATTTCCGTGAATGGCAGTTGAGTAGCGAACTAATTGCAGTTAGAAATTAGAACATTCGATACGCCAAAGCTATCAATCAGTGGGTAATAATAGTTCATAGTTGCATGTTAGGACAAATATTGATAGTTTGTTTTGTGATCAATGTTAAAATGTGATGTCACATTTTAATATGCATGTTATTGTATTTTGTTCCAACTTCAATGTGCCATGTTGTAGTTATTACGAAAGAAGAAACTGAAAGCGAGGACGCTAGTGTGCGAGTAAGGCCAACCATATCAACTGCTAGCTACATTGATGTTTCTTCTAGTATTTACGCCATTTCCGCAGTAGGGACAACTTGCGCCTTCGTACTTCATTACCGCAGTTTCGTGGTCATTGGCCACTGCCCTAGTCACCTTTGCAAGTCATTTCCGACTGAGCTTATGAAGTGATTCCAAAGTGGCAATATTTTTGCTTTGATGGATGCTGTTGATCGTTGAGGAGCTCGTGCACACATATAGGCATTGTTATTGCATGCTTTAAAACCCGGTTATTGTTGTGTAAGCCTACTTGAGTCATTGTATCCCGTCTCCAATTCCAACCGGGACCTTTGATGGAATACCAAAACGTGATCTGACCTATCTACGTAGTGCGTTATGGGAATTCGGTCAATGCCAGCTGTCTTGCTTTTGCTCGTGCTGGTGTGAAGCTTATGTTCTGTTAATAACATCAGGGATATTTATGTAACATACATGATTATATTGCTGTAATATCGGTTTGTCAACAGCTGAGCTGGATACCGATAGTAATCCATGCGAACACAGATGCTGAATGGGACATTCCACTCCAAAACGGCATGTATTGCAAAACAAGTATCCGATACAGGCTTCCTAAACTTCTGTCTTGATTCACACGACACCGAACGATCAATCCTGAGCAGCTACACTCAATCCAGTGAAAGCTCAACCAAACACCTACAAATGGGGCAAACCAGGAACTCTGCGGCTGATCTCGGAATCCGGGACCAATGAGGTTCATGGCGGAAAAGAGAACATATCAGAGTTGTTGCTTGCCTCCAGTTTTAGTTGGTGAATTCCAGTCCAAGACTGGCAGTGTCTGCTCCAGGCATTGACTAGTGGTCGACCTTGTTGTCAGCGCCGGGAGTTTAGCCCGGCGATGTTGGCCAGCTGAAGCGGAACAGGGACGGGTCACAAGCTAAAATCAAGGGCCATCAGTGGGGTCACAGTATCAAAATCACGTGTTCACTCAAATCATGGAGATACAGGTAGTTGTATGGATCACACGCGCTGTTACCAATGACGGTAGATGTTCAGTGACGCCCAGACCATGCTCCTAGTGTCCACTCTCTCCCCACTGACTCATTTGTACAGTGCCCTCTCCGCCCCCAATGACCTGTACCCTTTGCACAATTCAGTCCGTATCTCCGGCTAACTGATCATATATCCTAGTCGCCTAGGTCCCTCCCCTACTGCAGTCCCCTAACTAACCGTATTCAGCATCACGCTCGCCGTGTGCCCGGCCTGCGGCGCCGCCTCCCTGATCTGCCTCACACAGCGGCCGGCCGAGACGGCGTCCGCCAGCCGCCGGTCCAGGAACGCCCACGTCTCAGCGTAATCCTCCGAGGTGTCGGTCAGCAGGCGCAGCTCGGTCGACTTGTAGACGGCCGCCAGGATGGCCCGCTTCGTGTACCAGTTAAACTGGGGGCGTGGGGAGGGGTGGCACTCAGTTGGGCGTGGCGAAGCTGATACAGGAAGCAGCCCGACAGACCGGCCGTAACATGATTTTCTGTTATTCACCTATAAGAGGATAAATGTAAGTGCAGTTCCAGGAATTGAGAGGTTGCTTATTCCCGTAATCGGCTTTTTGGATTAAGCGGTGCCAATATTGTTGCATTTCAGCTCAGGTTACATGCTACTTACACTCAACGAAACACCACACCTCAAAAAGCCGCTTTAAATCAACGAAATCTCGCATTTTCAAAGGCTCCGAAAGTCAGAGCATCTGCAAAGCACAGCTGACGTCATTCTAAGATCAGACAACCAGTCAGGCCACCTACTCTCGAATCTCGATACCTGCGTCCCTTTCCAGCTGTCCCATCCGTTCCACCTCACTTAATCAGTATCTGTCCCATATCCTACGTCCTCCTTCCAGCCGTTGTTATTAATCCACAACAACCCCTCCCCCCATCATTTTTCCACAAGCACCCCCCCCCCCAAACACACACACACATAATTACACACCCAACCTAGGCTGCTCCACCCAACCTTCAACCACTCCAGTCCTTTCCCTCCACCGCTTTCCTCCCCTCCATCCTACTCACGTCGGAAGAGCGGTCCCCGGCGTGGTACCAGATATCATCCAGTAGCGCGCCGAAGTTGGTGAGCGCCGCGGGTACGTTGGCCGGCAGTGTCAGCAGGCCGAGCGCCTCGGGCCAGCGGTCCAGATAGGGTGTGACCAGTCGCAGCCGGCGCTCCACCGCCCACCGGATGAACGCCTGGGTGCCGAGCCGGGACGAGCTGCCGGAGAGAGGAGCGGGAGGCGGAGAGAGGTAGGGGATTGCATGATGAGGCAGAGACAAAGCAGATGAAAGGAAGACTGAACACTGAACAGGGTACCTAATGCAATTAATGGTATTTATCAAGCAGGATGTATGCCAGCTGAACGAGGTAATGTAATTATTGGTGGTGTCAAGCAAGGTGTTTCAAACATATCCGAACAAGGCTTTCAGCGCGATAAACGACTACTAGAAAGACTACCAAAACGCGAGTGAAGTAGTCTCAAGAAATCAACTAAGCGACCGCCTCCCTTGACTGCTGCAACCCTAAACGAATCAAGTGTCCCCGGACTTCTCTTAGGGCTCTGCAAGCCCCTCCTCCTCGAGTGGTTACTCACGGGTCGGCGTCCTGTTCGGCGGCGCGTTTCTCAGCCATTTCCTCCGCCACTCGGGCGTTACACTCGGTGTAGAAGTGGTCCACCAGCTCGGCACCGCCGCGGGGGAACAGGCCGTGCGCCACGTCTGGGAGACCGAGCGACTCCGCACCTGAGGGGGGGGGGGCACCGGGGGAGGTCAAAAGGAGTAGACAGGGTTGGACGGATGGCAGCAACGCTCGAGAGATGAAATGTGTGAAGTCGAGGGTTTTATCAAGTAGCTCAATGTTCAAACATGCTCAGTTTTCTCGGAATAGGCGAAACACTATGGTGTCATTATGTAATCTTGCGAGCTGCGAGAGACGCTTTATCCCCCAAGCTCTAAGCTACACGCACAAACTGCTAAATCCACGCTCTCTACGGACCAGCTGCTAACGCCTTGCACTACGTACCGGCTGCCAGCGCCTCGGTGCTCCATCCCATCTCAGGCACCATAGTCATGGCGGCCTCCAGCACCCGGCTCCTGAGCTCCGACTCGGCGCCGGGCGGGGGCGGGGGCGGCTCCGCCCGACCCGTGGGCGGCGGCGGCGGCACGGCTGACTCCCTCGCAGTGCCGGGTGGAGGCGCCGAGCAGCGCCGGGCGGCGGCGGTCACCAGACATCGGGCCAAGGAGGGCCGGACGGCCGGAGTCAGCCGCAGCGGGGCTGTCGACAGAGACGTTAGATTAGTGGCCGCGGCACTGTTCAATACATCGTGCGCATCTTAAGACCAGAAAACAAAATACAAGTAATCAGCAACGTTAATAACAGCATTTCAATCTTAGTAAGCATATCTTGCATTATTATCAGTTCAGTTCGATTTACATGGCCCTGTATAAAGGTGCTCTTACCATTTGAATCCCTTTTCAGCGCGCGGCTTTACAAGTCAACTAATGAGTGTCCTTCCCTGTAAGTCACTGATGACATAGCAGCCACCGGAGCATTTACAGTCGAATTCTCGCGAGTAGCTGTAAGCTGACCATGTGTCAATTGCCTACACATAGCTGTAGCGTGGGGAAAACTTAGCGATTGTTTACCATGAGCCACAAGCGACAAGATAGAAATCAATAACAAAGTCATAAACCATTACTGCTAGAGATTCTTTTAGCGAGTTCTGAGGACGACCCATTCACAGGATACGCTTTCAATACGCACCTCATGACTACACATAAATATCTATGGAGAAACGCGGACCGTGCCCTCAGCGAGCTGATCAAGAGCAAAACATTCCTGAAAAGACGCGACATAACACTTATATTCACTCAGAGTGAAGCAGTACAAATGTTAACCCAGCCGACTAGGATCATCTCCCCAAAATGGCTGATTTCAAATAGAGATGAAAGCGACTCCAAACAGCTATACCGCCGAGGAAAGGTTCTTCCTCTATGGCCGAGCTAGGTCCCACAAGGACCGACAAAAACGTAAGAAAGCGAAGTGACCTCTGTTTCCCGCACAGAGTACTGCTAATTCCATCAGAAGCCGTGTAGAAATGTGCAAAGTTGCGCAGTTCTGCACCCGCTGCCGTTGCCGATACACCAGGCACCAGCTCTCGCACACGGCAAGTAGTAACGCGTTCGCACGCACACAAAAACAAACACGTGCACACACAACCCACGGCGTGCCGTGGCAGTGGCTCGGTAAGCTCAACCCCGCGGAGCGACTAGCGACTGGGCGCGGCACGGTCTCCCGGTGACTAGCTGCCGGCGTCGCCGTGCCGCGGCGCGTCGGCCACCCTCTGGCCGGCCGTGACGCTGTCGCCGGCGCGCTGGCCGGCGCCCAGACTCTCGCCCACCCAGCCGAGCACGGTGCCGATCAGGTCGAGCGTGGTGAGCGCCAGCTCGACCGTCTGGCGCTGCTGCTCGGGCGGCAGGCCGGCCAGCGTCTGACCGCCCACGTTCAGCTCCACCTCCGTTGATGGCGGCGCCGGCTGGCCGCGCTCCGACAGCTCCCGCGCGCGCAGCCGAAAATGTCCGCGCGACAAGTCGAGCGCCGTGCGCAGGGGACTGAGAAAAACGGTGCGCAGCTCCTCTGCCCGCGCGCGCAATCCACACACGTCCGCTTTGTCGCGCAACAACACGAATCGCATCAGGTTGAGCGCGGCCATGACGTGGTTGTGGTTCTCCAGCAGGTCGGTAGTGGGTCCGTTCTGGAGACGGCAGGCGGTGCGCAGCAGCGGGGTGACCGACGGCGCCGAGAACCACGGACAGCGCCGCTCGCACGCCAGCGCCTCCGCCATGCTCTCCTTCAGCAGGCCGGTGACGAAGCCGAGCACGCTCGGGTTGTGGTTCGAGTTGAGCAGATTGCGCAGCACCACGAACCGGCCGTGCGCGTCGAACCGCCACACGTAGTCGGTCAGCAGGCCGATGCACAGCTTCCGCAGCTCCGGCAGCGAGCTGAAGACCGACATATTGATGAGAAGTGCCGTCACGTCCGCATGCGCCGGCGCGTCCACCTGACTGGCCGGCAGCTGGCCGCGCGGCAGCCGTCCCAGCAGCGCGCGCAGCAGCAGCGCTCCCTTATGGACGGCGCTCAGCTCGCGGCGGCGGAGCAGCGCCACGCACAGCGGCAGCGAGATGCGCGTCACGTAGGCCGGACAGAGCACAGCCGGAGTGCTCTCCAGGGCCACCTGCTCGGCGCACAGCAGGTACATGTAGGTACCCAGCGCCAGGCTGGAGACGCGCAGCTCCTGCCGCCAGTCGAGGCCGCTCTCGTCGAACTGCTCCTCGTCCGTCTGGCCGTCGGCCGGCGCGCACTTGGCCGCCGGCAGCAGCGCGAACAGTCGCAGCGGGTTCGACTGCAGCGCCGTGGTGTAGAGCATCAGCTGGTCGGCGCTCTGCCGCACCTCCGGCACACACTCTCCGCACGGCGTCAGGTCCAGGAAGGCGAGCGGCCGGTCCAGCACCTTCAGCAGGTAGCAGCAGAGCAGCTCGCGGGCGCGCACACCGGCCGGTGTGCACGCGGCCGCCGAGTGCAGTGGCGATATCTCCTCCACGAACGGCTTGAAGAAGGGCGTCAGGGCGTGCAGCAGGTCGGTGTGCCGGCGCACGTCTGGATCCTGGTACATCAGCAGCCGCTCGCGGCCCTCGAGCGCGTGCTGACGCGGCAGCGGCACCGACGCCAGGTGTGTGTACAGCGTGCTGAGCGCCCAGGCCAGCGACGAGCCGCGCTTGGTGGGCTCCCGGCAGAGCACGATCTGCAGCGGCGGCAGCAGCGCCTTGAAGCAGGCGTCCTCCTTGAACATCTCGCCCTTCTCCAGCAGGCAGATGAGCGCCTCCTTGCGGTTGGCTAGCCGCGCGATGGCCGAGAGGAGCGCCACGCAGCCGTCCAGCAGCCGCTCGTCGCCGGCCTGGTCCACCAGCCGGATCATGACGGCGTCAATGAGCTCCATGGAGTGTGTGGCCACCTCGGCCGGGTGCGCCTCCAGGTAGGAGGTGGCCGCCGCCAGGGTGCCCGCCTCCAGGTGCTGACCCATGGCCTTGAGGAACGGCGACTCGGCCGACACACCGCCGTCGCTGCCGTTCACCGCCTTCACGGCGACGTTTGCGCTCACGTTCGCCATCGCACACGGACTAATCAACGCTGGGGACCGTCCGAGATAGCTGAGCTCACCGGAGTAGGGTCTTGACTGGCTAGCCTGCAACAGCAATGGAAAACATGGTGAGGCACACCAAACCTTTGAGCTCTGCTGATAATAGAGTTGGCAAGGAGCCAGCAGTGTATGACTGATATTGAGATAAAGACACAGGCATGGCTGTTGCCTTTCCATGTTCCATTGCTACTGCAGACAATGAATAAGACCAGCAGGAATCTATGTTTGGGCTAGGATAACTAATTTACCCATTTTGGAAATGTGTGCATGCATATCAATTAATTTGTATAGGTGACCAGTGGCCACAATAAATTAAAATTGGATTTTTTAACTTGATCCTCCATGACAAGAAGAGATCTTTGTTGCTTGTTTCCCATTCCTCTCCATGAAATGTGATTAAAGCTAGTTTGAGGTTGGTGCTGACTTTTGACTCCATGTGCAAGTTTGGAGTCAAAAGTCATTGCAGGAAAAGGTTCCTTAAAACCATAAGTTTTGGCAGTTTTTGCCCTCTGCAGGCTACACTTTTGACATCAGGCTAAATCTGAACGCATCACTCAGAAAGAGCACTCAAAGGGCTATTCAATGTGCTTTTCTGCGGTGCTGTAGCACTATTCGTTCCAGAGTTATGAGCTGGTTTGTCAAAAATTGTTGAAATAGGTGAAATTGACTTTGATGACCTCTGGTGACCCGACCTTATACCTGACCTAAAAAATGGCATAAGTAACTTAGCCATGATTTTTTCAGCTCTTCCCAAAACCACCTTCAGTCTGTGGATATCCAGGAGTCCCAGCATTCAGCAAGGTATATGTTAATTGGTCTATTACACTTCTAAAAAAATAACAAATCTGCTCCTCAATGCCTGCCATATGCAACAGCCTTAGGGTAAAGGAGGAACACACAGTGCCAAACTAAGTTAGGTTGCAAATAAACTAACTCACCACTGGTTGCCCTTCCAATGCAGCGAACAACTTGGTGCTTCAGCATTCCAAGAACTCCTGTGTTTCTCAAAAATACTTTCTGCAACAAAGTTGGTATGTATCAAATGTTCTGAAATCTAAGGTACCAGTACAGCATGCCAAGGTTCAGACATACAGGATCAGAACAGAAGAGCCTGTAAAAAGAACAAGGACAAAAGGCAACACATAGAGCCTGACATTTCCTTTATGTTAACAACTTTTTGCTGATTGCCAGACAGCAATGGCCCAGGCCCTTGGATCCAGGCATCCATGATGAAGGTATGCACTGACAAATCAGAGCACACATACATGGATGGACCTAGATTGACCAGCATACACTTACAGGCTAAATTTGGTGACCGTCGTTCCCCAAGAAATTATGCGCCCTCCTGCACCTGCGCCGAAAAATTCAGCCACTGCCATGCGCTGAATCTAGCGCATGCCAAGTTACGCCAGATGTGAGCTGAAATTTTTGGCGCAATCCCCCACTATGCCTGACATATTTGACATAACATGTATTTTTCCAATCCAGGGTCAGGGAAGGATGTTACATTGCATAATGTTAGGTAAGGTTAGGTTAAGTTTTGTTATTTCTGCATGCAGGTACCAGTACCTGACTTCAAGCCCTAGGTTGAGGTATCCAGGAAAAGGTTATTTGAAATCAAAATATTGACATTTGGGTCAGAGTTTGCAAGAGCAATCTCAATTGTACAATCTCATCAGCAAGGCTCATCAGTATCACGCGGAATCATTACGTACATTAAAAACCCTAATATTCACGGATAAATAACTTCCGTGAGAATAAATAAAGACATTGAACCGTACACACGCACACACACACAACTGTGGCCCACCACTATCGTCTACACACGGATATTTTCTGTTCTTAGTGAAGATCAAAGCGTAAATCCATGTAGGCTACGTCATTGAAAATATCAGATTAAAATCAACCGGTGCCGTCTTAATCCTCTCATGCACATGAATTTCATGATTTTTTTTTCCGATCATCAAAATCTTGAAAATATATCTACATAAACAATAAATTGAACTCCTTTGTTCTTCGCAAATAAAAAAAAAATACAGAAGTGATTACTACATCATCATACAAGTTCTTCAAAAACAAATTAGAGTTACCTTGAATTTTTGCGCGCGAAAAGAAGCGTCGTTGGGCTCTCTCTATCGTCTGGAGGTTTCGAAAGATGCTCTCCAGAGATGGCGCTAGTAAATTTGGCTGACATGACGTCATGCTAAAAAGTGATGGTTTTTGTGAGAGCAAATGTAATAATAGTTGAAAATTTTGTACTTTTGCTTAATTAAGAAAAAATAAATATACAATTGTTCAAAACAGCGTTTTCTTCATTCATCCTTCATTGTTTTAAGAGGAATATAGACAGTTTAAATATTTTTTCTTGACCGCAATTCGCACACGCACTAAATTAAAAGCTGGAGTTTTGTGCGTTCGTAAATCGTGATTTGAGAAAATAAGTTGACAATAATCTTTTGCACTTTTGCTTTACAATCATTTTTCAATGCAGATAAATGCATAAATTATTCGAAAATAGGCATATCTTTGAAATATTATGATTTTCCACAAGCAAATTTTCCCAAAAACTTGAACTACTTACAACTGACGAACGCATCCAATAATCTGGATGTCTTAGGATGAGTTCGTCATTTTTTCCGAAGGAAATACGATACAGTTCAAGCTATTTTACCGATTTATTAGGGTACTTTTGCCAATGAATTAATAAATAAATGACAACAATTAATCTCATTATCAACCATACTCGGAAGAACTTTCTTCGCATAAGCGCGAACACATCCGCGCTTTCATGAAAAGTCACGCCTGTAGATGTCAGGACTGCTGCTTTATGTTTCGCAAGGTGGCGCAGCGCGCAGGGTACCGACTACCGAGGCTGAGGTCTCCAGACTCTCCACCACGATTTAAAGGGACCCTCCCACCTTCAAAAAAGTTAATGAACTGGCATAAAAGTGATGTAGCGTGAATCACAAAGAGCGAAAATGAACATCTACCAAATTTTACCGGAAAATGTTCACCCGTTTTCGAGATATAAGACTTTTATTTTTGTTTACTTTTTGGGAACTCCGCTGTTTCTATGACGTCACGTAAAGGTTTTCTTTACGTCGGCATTTGGAAGCAATAGTTTGGTATCAAAGTGCGACAAATATTGCGCGAATGATGCGTTTATCTTATCAAGGTCAATATATGATGGCCAATAAAGGATTCCAGGACAATCTTCTTATGGCATTTCTTCGTATCGCAATTCTTCGTCTGCAAATCTTCGTCAGGGCATTTATTCGTATCCCATTACTTTGTCTCGCATCAGGGTATATGAAAATCGGCTCGCATTTCTTCTTCAACGCAAATACCTATATGCAAAAGTAAGCATTGAGGGACAAATAAATGCACCGACGAAGATTTGTAGACGAAGAAATGCGGACGAAAAATTGTGCTACGAAGAAATGTCATGCGAGGATTCGTTCGGGTACCATGACATTTATGTGATTTCAAAGTCAAGGTTCACAGCTGATCTGCTAAATCAAGCCAAGAATCCAAACTATCAAAAAACTATAAATATTTGTTTGTCTGTCACAGAGGTCTCAAGCAATATAAGGTTGACATATGTTGAATCAAAAATCTACTGCCACAACTCACATCTCCTGCCTTAGTTTATCATTGTTGTTTAAACTTTCTTTCAAGAGAAACAGAAGCCAGTAGATGATATCACTTCAGATGATTGTTTCAAGATCTGAGTTCAAATGGAAATAAAAGCAAGATCAAGATGAAACAGGGATTATTGCTGTTAAAGTAGTTTGGCCATGATACAACAAGCACATAAATCATTAGCCAAATCAAATACTGGTTGGTTTGTCAAGATGTTTGTTGTCTGTCGTCTGTCGAGCTGCTATGAACACTGAACGCTCTCACTCTTACTTTAAAGATAGTAGTTTAAGTTGAATGGTAGTGAGCTGTAATTAGACAGAGCAGCTATTCAGTGCTCACATCAAGCCAGGCTAGGAAATGGCATCAACTGTGGTGGGAGGAAGCAGGTTCGGCAGCCCTATGTTGTAAACTTCTGTTGTGTCTTGTGTTTGATCAACTTATGTTTTCTGCTCTGTTTTGTGCAGTGATAGTAGCAGGTAACTGCATGCTTGTCAAATTATGTGAATAAACGAATTCATAACATTGCATTTTTCTCTCCATGCAAGGAACAAGTAAGATGTTGTAGAAAATGTAATAGAGGGCTGCATTGCTGATTTTGCACTTTATCAGAGCTTTATTAAGAATTGCTTTCCTGAAAGCTACACACAGGCCACAGCACTGAAATTCACAATGTCATAGCTTTTGGCAGAAAAAAAGAAAAGACTTACCTAGGTAAAATTGGCTGAAAGTATGGCAGAGCAGGTCTTGATGCGTATGCCCATCCATGTGCTTGCCGAAGCCGAACTGACTGCAAGTTGCAACACATTAACTCTGACCCACCATGGTGGCTGGCATATCCTGAACGTTCACCACTCTAAACAAGACAACTTTCAGCCCTCAGCATTGTATTAAAACACTGTACATGACACTCAAAATTTGTTTCAGTGCCATCCACGAACATCAGTCGCCATTCACCAGGCCAGTAAAAACAGAATAGATAATAGTTTCAAACCCATGTAGTCAGAGTTACAAGGTCTGCACCTCAAAACAAAATCCAGGTGACATTCACCACGCCAGTAAAAAACAGGTACTTAGGTAACGTAACAGCTTCAAATCTGGTAACATGTTGGTCGGACTTTACACTACCATATTTACATGGAATAATATGATACCAAACAATAGTGCAACCATTCTGGACAACAAAAGTGTATGATAAAATTAATTTAGAATACTTTGGCAGCATGTGATTTACGAGCACAGGCAGGTGTTACCTACCAGCCTTCTCAATGCTCGTAAAACCAACATTGTAGTTTTGATTTTACCTTATATGATAACACACTTGGCTGCAATGGCACATTTAATTTAATACTGTGAAAAGACCAGTTATAACCACTTCACAAGCACAATTGCACCTCATGCCGACATCCTTTTCCAAAGACAGTCAGCAGCGTCTTTCGTCAAAACTGGAAGATCAATCCCCTTTCAACTGTTAACATCAAACATATTTCTTCATGGTGTGATTTCCATATGGAAACCTTACAGGAAAAGAATTAATGTCAATTGTCAGCTCTTCAAATTTCTTTGGACTTTCACTTGCAGTACCATATCCAGTTTGCTTTGATATTTTGTTTTTTATTCCATGTTGAAGTTGAACACCAAGCTCCAGATATAGCAGGCAGCTTGATCATATTCGGCCTTGGTATAATATCAGTCCAAGTTCCAGTGGTGGGTATCTTCTAATATTCAAATTAAAATGAAAAGCAATAGGCTTTCTCATGTCATCAGCGCCGACGACGGATTTCACGTTGATAAAAAAGGGAGCTCAAGGTCAGCAAAACTCGGGTTCAAGGAATGGCGGGCGTTGAAATGACTGCTGACGTCATCGAAAAACCGCTAATGGTTAAGAGATAGGGACTAAGCTGGTCCCACCCTGCAAGTAAAGGGAAGAAATTTCTTGAACACCATAAACCTGCGGGGGTTGCGACCAGGATAAATGGTGGTTTCTGAGCCTGGCCGCAAACTTGGCTATCTCAACTCAAAACTAATGTTAAGGTGGGATGGTCCCTTTAACTTGGAAATGGCCGATGGGGAAGGTCTCACCCAAAAACGGACGCCCTTTTACACAGCTGCATAAAGAGAATGAATTATTAGCATAGCTGACCACACGTCCCCTCCCCCTCTCCGCCCCAGCTCAATAGGAAATATCGCCTATTTTCCTTAGTCAGTTATATTCTGACTAATTTCTCACTCTTCCCAGTAAACCTTAACATGCATGATGCAGATGTCCACTGCGTAAGTCGTGTGCTTTCGTAAGTGTGCCAACTATATAGTGTTGCCTGCCTACACTCTACAGTACAGCCTACTGCTTCCCCATTGTCGTTATAATTGGTGATTCTCAGGTCAAAAGTTACACAGTGGTCTCAGAGAACAATCGTTTCAACAAATTAACGATTCAAACCGTTGCATTCTACTTATATTCCGGTCAGTTCTGCTACTAAACGATTCCGGCAAAACACTCTTTAGGTTATGTATTAGCGAACCACCACACAAAATTCGCCCAATCAATGGTCAGTTATTACTGCTGGGCTGAACCGTCATACGCTATATAGCCTATTATATAGCCTAGTCAATATTTTCAGAACGATACTGACTGACGAAACACAACGTATTCGCGGATTCGCACATACGTTGGCACCCAGGTGGCCTGTCAGCAGCCGCACAAATCCGCACAGCGCAGCCGGGATTTGACATTGAGATGGTACACCGTAAAGCATGCCTTTCCACACAGGCACAAGCACAGGGACACAAATTCTCAAAATCCAAACTTATTCCAATACTGGTCAATTACGAATAGGCATAAAGTTTTGAGGTTTTCTCATGTTCATTCTTCTTTCAACACACGCGGCAGACTGCAGCAGCTGCAGAACATCTCACAGAGCTGCGCTGGATGCAGTCATGAGCTGGGACACGGTTTGTGACCAATGACCGATCGGGGGTGCCAGCCTCCTCCCGGCACGCGATGCACTGGCCGCCGCGCAGTCGATGTCGGGGCACCGCCGGCATTCGCCGACAGGGTTCCATCCGATTCGGTGTATTGGTGGCAGCCCGAACAGTGACCCACGCGAAGCTGGCGGACGTCGATGGCCGATGAGCGATGCCCTTCCGCGACCGGCGGTGGCAGTCGGTCCCACATCAAGAACAGATACCAGTCATGCGGTCAGTCGGCGACGGCGCTGTCGCGAGCCGATCTGATGGTCGCGCGGTGGGCGTTGCCGACGTCCACCGGGACCGTCGACTGGGGGAGCGCGGCCGCCTCTTGGCCGCCGCCTCTGGTCGGCGAGCTCGTTGCGCTGTGGGACGGCATCCACTGCAAGTCGTTCACTGTGAAGCGGTCGTTTGACCGGACCTGGCAGGCGGGGAAAGGGGGCCTCAGATGAAGTAAAACCATCCCTCAGGCCAGCTTGAACTGGCTCTCCACCTCACCATGTTAGATAAGCGGACACCCTCGTGATCATCGCAGCGATGATTGCCAATTGGTGTGTCATTATGGGAGAGGATGCCAGCCTCCTTTGCAAGATAGTCTGCCTTTAACATAGTGCAGCCCGACCCATTGCCTGTGGCGCAGACTGGGCTTGATAATGCAGTGCAGGACACACCAAACGTAAGCGGCCATCTGTACCCCCTGTGCAGTAGGGCTGACTCAAGAGCCCAGAGTTGCCCTCCCCCCCACCATTCTGTGCACGTGATAACTGGATGGGACATGCCATGGTCAGCATCTGTTCAAAAGCTGCCCTAAGCATGTAAAGCTCCACTGGCATGCTCAAGCATGGTCACAGTCAGTTCTCACTTCTCAGTTGAACCTCCAATGGAAACCCATCACAAAGTAGAGATCAGGGCGCCTCTCACACTGCAGCACACTCAACGACTGAGGCACCATCTCATCACTTGCAGGTGGTTCTTGCCAGGAGCAATGCCAGCCACGCACATCAGGTGATAACAGCAGTGTACAACTGCAATCTACAAGCATCCATGTTCTTTCTGGTTTTCTCCTGTTGAGATCCACTGCCATGCATGAACTTGATGGGCTTTTGTTGCGCTCCTCCCATGTGCAGACAGGTTTCTGCTGAAACAAAGCAAAGCAAATGTGATTAATAATGGCCCTGTTTCACCATCCAGACACTGTGTGCACTGGTAGCTACGGCATACCATAGCATCACTCAAATGACGTTGCATGTGACCTCTTAGTTTATGATCAATCGCGTTTGGAACAGAGTGAGAGGTTCTGAAAAACCGTACCAAGAACAGAGGTTTGAGTTCAAATACTGCTAGCATGCTGCTGGTGCTGGTACCGCAGCGTGCTAGCGTTCTGGGATGCTGTCATAGCTTAGCGTCACAGTGAAGTTTGTTGACACTGCCATGGAAACCCAATGCTCTGACACACGCAGCGCACTGCAGTGCTGAGCACTGCAGTGCGTGCTCTGCCGTGAAACACCACCCATGAACGTTGGTTGCATGACCAGGATGGAGCAGTGTGGCAGACAGTGATTTCAATTTTAATTGCACTTCCTAGAGATTAAAATGTTGTTGGTGAAATTGCTATTCATTATTCCTATTACCATTGTCTAAATTTCACATTTTGATTTCAAGACAGCATCAGCATTGACATGTTATATAAAATAAGGTTTAGACTTCAGGTGGTCCCGGGTTCAGCTATTAAGTAAAACAAGGGCAAAAAATTGTCAAAAAAATATTTTTAAAAAATACCTGCCTTCATCAACACCTCATCTAATCTAACCTCATCCTCATCTAACAAGGCCCTAATAGCAAAAACCGTTTGAATAACAATGTAATATTTTGCAACCGCTGCACCATTACTGTCACGTACGCTATCCCTAGATTGGTTGCTGGTAAGTAGTGGTTGTCGTCATCAACTCGTCATGCAGCAGCTGATTGGGATGGGCGGGGCCTATTTTTATCCAGGCGATAGAGAGAGCCCGTCGTTGGTGTTGGTTGTCTCCTTGGGTTGTCTTGTGGTGCTTGTGTGTGTTGATGCTAAGGCACGTTTCTTTTTTATTTGATTGTGATTTCATTCTGCCATACCCAGGGTAACTTTAAAAGGGGGGAAAAGTGGAATTTCCCTCTTCAAAAATTCCGCTTCCCCTTTCAAATTGTGCGTGAACGGCTAGGGAGGGAAGAAGGAATTTCCCCCTATCAAAATTTATTTTTGAGCCCATTTTCAATTATTTCGCTAGGTACTCAGATTCTATAATCATCGTTGATCTGACTCTAGTCATCAATCAACGTTGCTGGTGCTTGGATACTTTTCAATTTGAGGTTCCATCCAACCATTTTAAATTCAGTGCAGCGGGAACTCCAGATTCGACCCGATACCGATCGGATAGTTGGTGGGACCGTTCCTACTCTATTGTCCTGTCTCTTCCATCTCTTCGCAATCACTGACATCACTACAGGCCCGACTGGAAAAAATGCACGCTTTCGTTGAGAACTCGAGCGTAGTTGGGCGTTTGCACCGAAAATTTTCGGCGTAAATCGACGGCTTGCGCCGAAATTTTTGGCGTACTTCGGCGTAAATCGCGAAAAAACCGTCAGGGGGGTGGCACCAACCCCCCCTCGGCCGGCGAGGATTAAATGTCTTCGGGAGTTAAACATCTTAAATATCACTTATCTTGTCTCGTGTTCGTCTCAGGGTATTTAAGTCATGTTCAGTGAACCTGATTGTGACTCTCCCACGGCGGGAACAGTTCACCGGTCAAGAGTGAGGTTATGGATTGTCGGATTCCCTAGTTCAGATAACGTATGCTATCGTGTGCGTATTGACCGTTGTGATTCCTGTATTTCCGGCGTGTGGTTTGCGAGCGGACGCTGGCAATCGGTCCCGCGTGGCCTGGTATCTGCCCGATCCCATCGGCCGTGCTTGCACGTTGCACCACGCCTGTTGAAGGCCCCGTCAGGCGTCAGTCACCGTTTGGGCACTACTGCTGATCAGAGCCGGGCAACAAAATAAAGGTTACATTATGGAACATGCCAGTGAGTTTGTGAGTCAGGAGATTTTGTGATAGCGAACGCTGGTGCTTGGTCCCGCATGGCCTGCTGATGTCTATTATCTGCCCGATCCCGTCGACCGTGCCAACAACCGTCTGTACAGTAGTCACTGGAAGACAGCCACACACACATGCCAGCCCCCCCCCCTCGACCATAGGCGTAGGAACAGGGGGGGGCCGGGGGGGCCATGGCCCCCCCACTTTCGGAGGTGGGGGGGCCAGCAATGTTAACTGGCCCCCCCACTTTTTGCTGTCTGTACCTAACCTACCACCCGGTAACTTGACAACTATTCAGCTTGCCCTTTAATGAGGATTCCTTTTTGTTTCTACAGCGTTATTGGCCGCAATTTCCTTCACTCAATGAAGGAAACCATATCAGAGACAAGACTGTGAGTCCTGGTGACAACATTTTGTTGAATACGAGGCGCGGGACAGCGAGCACTAAAAAGGTATAGGCAATACAGAATACTAAGACAATACTAGCACGGTGCAGGAGAATGCGTATACAAACGACCAACGCTTGACCTTATCTGCTTGGGGTCGGCATAGTTCGTCAAAGGCGTACTAGCTGGGGGCCAGGGTGACCGTGCCTCAGCCTCGGTTCAAACAGCCTGGGGGCCAGCAATGTCTGTTTCTGCCCCTCCCCCTTCCACTTTCAGTGCAGTGGCGGTCGCAGAGGGGGATCAGGGCCATGCCCTTCCCCCCTCCAAAGGCTAATCAGGGGGCCATCATATCATTTGGCCCCCCCAAACAACCAATGGGCCCCCATGGGCGTATGGGGCTCTGGCCCTTATTCGATTGTCACGAGACTCAAGAATCCCACGCTAGCTATTAACAGCTCCCAAACCAGTCTTTGAGGGTCCTACACTGATCTCGGAGGGCCCTTCAGTGGCGGTCAAGCGCCCACATTGACCGCTGAGAACCCACATTGACCTCATTTGAGGGCCCCTAAACCGGCCTCAAGGGCCCAGCCGGCGTCTGAGGGCCTCACACCGGCCTCTGGTGGCCTCATTTCTGTCTCTGGGGTCCCAAGACTAGCCTTTAGGTGCCTTTGAGGGCCCCGCACTGAATTCTGAAGACCCGATGCCGGCCTCTAAGGGTCCGCATCGGCCTCTGAGGGTCCACCTTGGCCTAAGGGGTCCAACGCCGGCCCATGCCGGTCTTTTAGGGCCCCACACTGACCTCTAAGGGCCCATGCTGACCTGTAAGGACACGCATTAGTCTCTGAGGGCCTTGCACGGGATTCTGAAGACCTGATGCCGGCCTCTGAGGCCCATCTTGGTTTTTGAGGGTCTTCTGCTGGCCTCTGGGGTCCAACATCGGCCCATGCCGGCATTTTAGGGTCCCACACTGACCTCTGAGGGCCCATACTGGCCTGTAAGGACCCACATTAGCCTCTGATGGCCCAAGTCGGCATCTTAAGGTCTCATCCTGCCCTTTGCAGGCCCTGTACTGGTCTCTGAGGGCCTTAACCCTCGCAGGCTGGGGGGGGGGGGCGGGTGCTGCCCCTCCATAGGTTTTTTTTGCGATAGCTCCGAACACGCCGGCGATAGAGAGCTGAAGCTTGGCATACCTGACCTTTGAATCAAACGGGATCTTTCGACACCAACCGCATTTTCGGGTCAGATCAGGTCACTGACCCATGTGGTCATAAGTGAACCTCTGCACGGCCTTCAGATGTCGCAACTTCGCAACGCCCTCACTGCCAGAGGAGATTTCACAGGGAAATGAACCTTGGAGGACCTAGTATCTAATAGGAGTCTCTCAACTTGTATAATGTATATCTCGGATTTTTCCTAAAGTTCATATGAGGTCAGGTCATTTTCGTGACCTCACCATTAGGTATAAGTCAATGGGGATAAACTGAAAACTTTTTCTGGCGCCGGGAACGATCGATCTCCAACTATCTCAAGCACACCGAATCGTGATTTCATGCACTCCTTGCAAGGTTCGATGCGTCACTTTTGCAATGTTGACCTTGCGCGACGTCATTTATGAAGTTATAAGGGTCTTATTAGTTTTTCGTCAATAACTAGGTACCGATCAAATTGAGCTAGCGAGTCGGGAAAGCCACCTATGGACTCAAGAAGACCTGCCGAATCGAATGATATGCGACATGACCTCCTTCGACCAATTTCGTGACCTGGGGACGCCGACCTGACCGTGACCCGAGGTCAACACCCTAAATTTACCTCACCCAAACAAAAAGCATATCATTCGACGCGCCTGAGAGAGGCGAACACGATGCTGGCAAAATCGCGGCTCTGCGGCCATTTTTTGCGAAGTTATTCACCAAAAACGGAACCGTGCCTTGAGGCACTTGACCTGACCTCAGAGGTCACCGGTTTTTGTTTGTTTTGTTGGGTTAGGCCCTTTCGGTCCAATGAGACCATTTCAGAGCCGGAAGGATGATAGGATATAGGGGGAGACATTGGTCTGGGCACTGGGCAGGCACCCTAGTGAGTCGCCGGGGCTGAGCCCGTCCAGAGGACAGGCCACCCAGCCCCAAGGCACTCACTGCACTCGGCTACGGGGTGCGCTCCCTCGGGAGCAGCGGTGCCGCTCCAAGGGAGCAGCCCGCATGAGATAAAGTTGCCTGTCCAGCCCGGAGGGGGGTGGCGGTGTGGAGGAGAAGGATTTCAGTATCCTGAGGATAGAAGCACGGAACGGTGTTAGAGGTCACCGGTTGACCTAGGACCATAAAATCGGGTATCGATCTCTGCGTCTCGTAACGGCGCACACGCTCGTTTTACCGCGACGCGCTAGCTCCACCTGGGGCGAAACAGCGAGGGGGGTCGTACCCGCCCCCCGCCCCCTCGGCCAGCGCGTATGTAGAAAACCTATAGGACCGGGCCGTGGAGGGTTAAACTGGCCTCTGAAGGCCCAGACCGTCTAAAAGTCCCACACCGGCCTCTGAAAAGTGATAGGCAATCAGCCCAGTTGCAGTGGTCGCTGATATAAAACCTCTTAAAAACGTTATAGGCCTGGCTGAGCCTAGCTGGGCCGTTCATGCTGATTTTTATACGTATATTGAAAAGACTCGCTTTGCACGTTTCACGCTTGCTCGTAATGAAAAAGTTGCTGGATGCCTCTGGAATTTGCATGGGTGCCAACGGCTGCGGAGGACAGGGGAACGCGTCCATCAGTTTGAGTTTATGGACGGGAGACTCCCTGAAATTTCAACCAATTTTTTTTTCTTTTTTTTGTCTCGATTTTTTTTTACCTCTGAGCATGTTTGCGAAAACAAAGTGGCCGAAATCCGAGGAGAAATCGGATTTTGGGGGTAGGTTAGGTTTTGGACCTCTGGGACCCTGGCCCCCCCACTTTTGAAAACGTTCCTACGCCTATGCCCTCGACGAAAAGTGCGTGGCTACAGCCTGCAGCCATCAGTAAGCCTTGAAAATTTTCGGCGCATGAAGCATGGCTTGGTAAAATAATTTCGGCGCATAAACCCTTGCGCCGAAATTTCGGCGCATCACCTCCGCCGAGAACTTCAGCGTAGTGGAGGCATTTTTTCCAGTCGGGACTACAGGCGTCGGCATAGAAACCGGCGGGGGACGGGGGTCATGACCTCTCCGAACCAAGGGTCTTCCTTTGAACCAGGGTCATTCAGTCGGTCTTGGTTTAGCAAAAATAGTCCTGTGTTAACCTCTCTCTATTTAGAAAGGCGCTACTTGATGTTTGGCCAGGGTAATAGGTTGATACTACTGATTGACATTTGCAAGGGCGCAGTCAAGTTGGGACCCTTACTGCCAAGGTAGGTAATACGTATATTTTTTAGCTAATTTATTTTTTTGGCAGCCTTACAATATAAAGTGGCCAGAATCCGGGGAGAGAGTAGGATTTGGGGGTACCGGGCAGGTAGGGTAGGTTTCTGCAGGCGCTATCCTAACAAAAACCTAATGGCATTGGGCCCCCCTTTCAGATGCCCCTGGATCCGCCCTTGCCCCGAACTTTATTCCCCCTCTCGACTTTTCCTGTAAAAGTAACCCTGGCCATACCCAATGTATTTCATCATAGCTGTGGCTTGTGGAGTTACCTCACATAGAAGAAGGCTATCTGCTATCACCGAGGGGCCTTCAGTTACCTATGTCAGTTGGGGAAACTACGAGGCGAAGATCCAAAAATGCATCGGTCCATAAATGGACTTCCGATGACCATATATGGGCTTAAATGCAGCCCTCGCTACTACGGGTGAAAAATGGTATAACCTGCTGGTACTTGCGGTATCGCATCCACTTATCGGGGAGAAAAGGCTTCCATTTTCCTTTGCAGTCTGGCCCAGGTGGCACTAAGGGGCACACTAGATAATCCTGATTTCTTTGGCATTATAGGTCAAAGGGCTGCTGTAGGGCATGAGTGAGGTGACCATGCCATTGACATATGTCACCAGACAAAAAAAAAATATATATTGAAAGGTGGGCCATGCTCCTGTCCGTACAACAGGGCTGTCTGCCTGGCACGTATTATACCCCACAACCAAGCAAATACTCCCCAGTTGCTGCCATCTCCTTACCTTACCTTACCTTAAAGTGGTCAGGATATGTAAAGGCACTAAAGCCTGGAGGTCCCGCTCTCATCGAACTCATGTGTTCCGTTCTGACTCGACTCAGTCGTTGTCAGGCACCAGATACTGAAGTGGAGCCCAGTGGGCATCCAGACGGCTTTTGAATACGTTCAGCGAAGGAGAGCCTACAATCTCGGCCGGCAGTCCATTCCAGTTGTTCACCACACGAATGGCAAAAGCTGAGCTGACTGGTTGAATCTCCTGGGTGGGACCCAGCCAAAAAAGGTCATGTGTCAGCTTTGATCAAGTACCCCCCCCCCCCCCTCCTATCGAGTCACCGAGTGTGGACGCATTTCCTTATTGAAAGACACTGCACCACGATGGGCCGTTTTCGGTGTGTCGTAATTTGTAGAATTTCTCGTTCCGTTTTTTTTATATAGGTCGTTTTTTATCGAGCTCGCAGTGCTTTCCTACATTCTCGAAAAAAGAACAGCTAACTGTGAATAAAATGCTCCGCCTTCACTACCGCGCAAATGCATGCTCAGCTGCTTCACACCTGCGGCACTTACTATCCGCGGAATTACTACAAGCGGTAACTGTCTAAGCTCTACCACTACGAATGCATACATACCTATGCACTGTGCAGTGTAGGCATGTAGTGGCTTGTGGCCTTATGCATAACATAAGCCTGTCATTGCCATAGGCTCTGGCTACATCCATGCAAATGCGGACGGAACACCGATCACTGATTTTTCAGCCGTTGTTTTCTTTCAAAATAGTTGTAACATTTCATAGCTATAGAAGAATAACTTTCTTGCTAACGCATCTGTCTCTAACTACCATATGGCGCGTCGAATGATATCATTTTTCACGTTCCCATCAGGTCGAGTCCCGTGTCCAGCCTCCTGCATCATGGGCCGTGAGAGCGAGAAGGCACGTCAGCGGAAGCTGGCCCGCCGCGCGGAGAAGGAGCGCCTGGCTGCCTGTGGCGCCCTGGTGAAGCAGGCTAACGAGGTGCCCGACCTGATGGCCGACCTGGCGGCGTTCCGACGGTACGAGCGGCGCGGCCTGGCCGTCACCATCGAGCACCGCAACGTCGGCGACCTCAGCGCCGCAGAGGTGGACACCCTGCTGGCCATCTGCCGCGAGAACATGCAGAGCCTCTACGACGCCTGCGACTGGGGCTGGAACGACAAGGAGAAACGCTCCGAGATGACCGAGAGCATGGCCAAGTACCTGATCGCGCGCAACGCAGAGGGGAAAATTGTCGCGTTCTGTCATTTCCGGTTCGATCTGGATTATGACGATGATGTTTTGTATTGCTACGAAATACAGCTTACGAAGGCTTGCCGCCGAAGTGGATTGGGTAAGTTTCTGATGATGATCCTCGAGCTGATGGCGTTCAAAAAGCAGATGCTTTACGTGAGGCTAACAGTTCTAAAGCACAACGAAGGGGCGAATGCGTTCTTCAAGGCCTGTGGCTACACCCGGGACAAGACTTGCCTGGAGGACACTATTTACCAGACTCACTGCTACGAGATCCTCAGCAAGAAGAACCCCAAAAAGGAGGACTCGAACCCGGACACCGTGCCCCAGCTGAGTGTCAGCAAGGCGCAGCAGCGGGTCAGCTCGTGAACACGCAGCACGAGCCGGCCGCCATCGGCCAGACCGGCATCATCTCGTCGATTTTCGTGTTGCTGTTTCATTTCGATGTCGTCGTGTGACTAGCATCTCAGTGGAGCTCACGGCGTCGATTGTAGTTAGATATTGTCATCAGTGTCGCCGGCTGGATTGCGATGGTGTTTTGCAACATCTGTGTCTTTGTGGTACCTTTACGTGACGATGACGATGTGTTGTGCTGTGTCACGCCCCTGTAGCGTGTCTTGTGGGGGATGCTGGACTGGACTCGGTCTCTGGTTTTACCGACGAGTGGACCGCTTTTACTGACGCCAAAGCTTGGCCGAACTAGCCGTGATCAGCACATCACGAGCTGAATTTCTTTCGTATCGTGTTGTGACCGGACATGTGGTAATGCTCTCGGCTTATGCTGTCGCTGTTTTGGGTCAGCCGCATTTCAGCAAAATATCCTCACTTGCCCGTCACGTCACTGACTGATTTTAGCTGTGTCCATAACCAGGGATGTGGAGCCGGAGCCGGAGCCGGAGCCGGAGCCGCCGGAGCCGGCATATTTTGCCCGGAGCCGGAGCCGGAGCCGGAGCCGTGCAACAATATAGTCCGGAGCCGGAGCCGGAGTCGGAGCCGTCAAAAAAGGGAGCGACTCCGGCTCCTTTTCTTAAGAGGAAACAATTATTTACCTAGTTCGGTTTGACAGTACAAGGCGTAAAACAATGTGGTATTCAAAATGGCCTTGTTATACAAATACAGAAGCAACGGGTACCAATCCCATCGCCTTTTTTCTTCCACCCGTATTTAATTGATCGCATAGGGGATGTAGGTACTGAGTAAAAGCCGGAGCCGGAGCCGCCGGAGCCGGATCATTTTACTCGGAGCCGGAGCCGGAGCCGGAGCCGCCATGACATTTCACCCGGAGCCGGAGCCGGAGCCGGAGCCGATTTTTTTCTCCGGAGCCGGAGCCGGAGCCGGAGCCGTCTGAAATTTCCACGGCTCCGCATCCCTGTCCATAACGTTTGTTAATAAAACGCGAAGTGAAAATTTACGGATGCGCAACGTATTTTACATTTCATGCACAAAGTCTTTCGGTACTCGGTGCACGATGTAACGTTCTACATGGTCACATGCGGTTATGGTAATTGCTGGCTGTGTAGTGCACGCGGGTGGTGACTTCACCGTCACGGCTTTATCTCGCCGCCTGAGGAATCAGGAGCGAACCCCAGATACCGAGGGAGGACGTCACCTGGTGGATTGATTAAATGCGGCATATGTCATGTGAAACACTGGTAGGTTGATCCGTAAGGCCAAAAAAGGTTCAATGACCACGGTGAGCGTCAAGGTCAGGAAGTTTGACAACTGACAACCGATAATTGCTTTTTTTAAGCTCTCCGTATACATTTCAGAGCAGGTATTCAGGGCCAGAAGGGCGATATGAATTACTAGAGGGAAGCCTTTGTCTAGGCCAGTCTGGGAAATGGCGGCTCGGGATAGGTGGTTTCGGACGTTGAAGGAGGCATTTTCACCTGGATCCGCCCGTACTTGCGGTTGTGGATGGACCGGGGGGATCGAGTGAGACTGGAATGATGAATGAGAATAGGGAAGAAAAGAAACCGTTAAAGAATTTCCCTAAAAGAAGTACGTTGGTAGTAAAATGATGTCCGTCTGTCAACCGGCAGATTGTTGTAAAGAACCAGTAGCCTACGAATATTTTCAATAAACAATTACGTAGGCTACTGGCTCTTGACTACCTACCTGTCCAATGCATATCTACAGCAGATTGTTATTCGCGAAGCCGCTGCTTATAAGCTTGTAAGCCGTAGACAAACGTTCGGCGCAGGCCACTTGAACCCGCTGCCGGATATTCGCCGAGTCCGTACTCCGTTGCCCCAGTAGCATATTCGGCCCGGCCCAAACCCGCGTGAGAGGCCCGGCCGATGTCTGACTGGGTGAGTATTGAAGCATCCAAGAGCGCAGCATCCAAGGGACGCAACATCCAAAGCCTTAGCATCCAGCGATCAAAACGTCCAAATAACATCCAAAACCGACCCCTTAGGGATGATTCAGAGCATCCAAGAGCGAAACATCCAAAACTGCAACATCCAGGACCACAGCATCCAAAATCGTATCATCCAAATTGGCAGCAACCAAGGATGAAGAATTGCAGCATCCAAGAGTGAAACATCCAAGGGTGCAAGCATCCAAAACCGTTTCATCCAAAAAACATTTCTGGCACCGCAGCATCCAAGACCGTATCATCCAAAATAGTGACATCTGTTGTACAAGCTGCAAACTATTAGTTCAATGGCTGTCCGATAGGTGGTGGCACGTACGGTTCCTAAGTGACGGAATTGTATGACATCACTGAGTCTCTATACAGTGGCATCCCTATAATGACCTTACCTTACATCCTCAAGACGGAGGTGCGTAGCTGCTGGTAGCGACATCGCTGCGATGCCACTACAAACCTGACAGATGACATGAAGACGCATTGCAGCGTATCCAAGCGCGGCGCTATGTAGGTAGGCTGAAGTGTCGATAATGGAGACCGATACCGAAAGTGGGTTTATTAATTGTCCTTTCAGTTTTCACACCAGAAGTGCCTAATAAGTCGTGTAGTGTCCACTGTCCCCGTAACCAAGCCTCCGCAAGGATCTTCATCTCACCGTCAGATCGCGCTTATCATCGTCAGCTCCTCCCGTTCCTTCACAGTTACCTTTTTCCTGTCCTATGTGATATATTCCATGTTCCAGAGGGCAAAAAAATATAAAAATAGCCGTTTATACCAGGGGTGCGGAGCCGGAGCCGGAGCAGCCGGAGCCGGCATATTTTGCCCAGAGCCGGAGCCGGAGCCGTGATACAATATAGCCCGTAGCCGGAACCAGAGCCGGAGTCGTCAAAAAAGGGGGCGACTCCGGCTCTTTTTTTAAGAGGAAAAAATTATTGACCTAGTTCGGTTTGACAATACAGGGCCATGTGGTATTCACTATTCAAATTAGCTTTGTTATGCAAATACAGAGGCAACGTGTACCTACCAATCCAATTTCAATCGCCCTTTCTCTTCCACCCGTAGGTATTTAATTAATCGCATAGGGGATGTACTGAGAAGGAGCCGGAGCCGCCGGAGCCGGACCATTTTACCCGGAGCCGGAGCCGGAGCCGGACCGTCTGAAATGTCCATGGCTCTGCATCCCTGGTTTATACGAAAAAAAAGTTTTAGGTAACAGATTTTGACTGAAGGGAGCCACGACATTACTTTTGCCAGCAACGTGTTCCCCTCGTCGAGTCGCGTCGAATGAAATTCGGACTTTTAAGGTCATTTGGAAAATTTGACCTCGGGTCAGGGCATGGCCTGACCGGAAAGGGCCATGCTGCATATCAGTCGATCCGTATCACCGAGTTAAACACATCTGACATGTTTTTACCGCTCTAGCACGTCTGTCGTCTCTTATATCAATTCAAAAGAAATAGTTTTAAAAAACTGCTGGTGACCCTTCATGACCTGAGATAACCTCAGGGTCATTCAGAGGAGTAACGAGTGCAATATTCGGGTGTGTCATGTTTTCCAGTAAACCGATGTTTGAGAGCAGGGATGCGGAGTCGGAGTCGGAGTCGCCCGGAGTCGTGGTAGCGAGCCCGGAGTCGGAGTCGGAGTCGGAGTCGACCAGGCTGCCTTGATTCCGACTCCGGGAAGCTTATCAAAATTTGTGGCGTTGCTTGCTGGAAATAAATTTATCTGGAGATCTGGGGAGGTATCCCACAGATCTCCCCGGTTGGGGAGGTATCCCCCAGCTCTCCCCGGGGTCGGGTGGTGTTTGCCGGGATTAGGGCGCCGCCCGACTTGGCCAGGTGGGCCGCACAGGGCAATTTTAAATGTTTTGTTTGTTTCTTATAAGGTGTGATGAATGTGGATGAGTGACTATGTATCAAAAAAGATTATGAAAAAAAAAACTGTGATCAATGATTGGACAGTGTTAATGATTGCGTCGTATTTCGCATCAGACCCGGAGTCGGAGTCGGAGTCGGAGTCGGAAATCGCTACCACGACTCCGCATCCCTGGAAATGTTTAGGTAGCATGGGCGTCGAAAGCGGGGGGACGGGGGGATCCGCAGTCGAGGAATCCGGGGGGGGACATCCCCTCCAAAAAATCGCCCATAAAGCATTTCAAAAGTGACTATGTATTTGCAACGGTCATTCACAATGGAGTCATGTAAACAGAAATAAACCATTTTTAAAAGAATACTGGTGCTGGTCAGTTCGACGGTACAACTGAGAACTCAGACACTTCAGCGGCTCAGGTACACCCACCAAAGACTGAAGTTCGGTCCTCTGGGTGGGGTGACAGCTGCATAAGCCACACATTCGAGTATTCACAATCCTCAAGCAAGACCCCCACTTTTAAACGGCCATTCTCCCGTGCTAGGTAAAACGACAGCCGAAGGGGCTCACCAGTTCACTATGACCGAGTACCTGATGCTGGTGTGAGAGGTCAGATGACCTCGCCACGGTCTGGGATTTTTTTATTGGGTTAGGCCTTTTCGGTCTGACGAGACCATTTCAGAGATGGAAGGAGATAGGAATTAGGGGGAGGGGGAGGGGGGACATTTGGTCTGGGCGAGCACCCTGGTGAGTCGCCGAGGCTGAGCCCGTCCAGAGGGCAGGCCGACCAGCACCCCAAGCACTCACCAATCACCGCACCCGGTTATGGGCGTGCTCTTATCGGGGGTTCGCGCATGGGATAAAGTTGCCCGTCCAGCCCGGAACAAGGGGTTGAGGCGTGGAGGAGAGGGATTTGAGTTTGACTGTCCTGAGGATAGAAATGACGGAACGGTGTGTGGTATGAGATGGTCCAGGAGGTTTGAATACTCAGTGTATAGGCCTATATTGGTCTGAACCCTTTACTGATACAACCACCGTCCACCAGTCACAACGGCCAACAGAACCTCTAGCTCTTATCCCCCCGTCCTTTGGAAACCGCTAATTTTTATTGTCATCCACGAATTCCACGCGTACCGTAAACGACCGTCTAAAACGGCTTCATAAATTTCGACTAACCAGTTAAAGAGCAATGAGCATGACTTCAAGCCAGAGAATGTCGACTCTGACTTCGGAGTCGAAGTACAAACGACTTCGGTTACTCCAGCTCCGACTCTAGCCAGAGCTGTCAAGTCGAGCTGACGAGCTGTCAAGCTCCGGCTCCGATCCCGCAGTCCTGCAGTTGCACTACACAAAACTTCAAACTTCTAAGAAATGAGTTATACGGTTAAAAGGACCACATTTTTTTAGAGGCAGGGCTACTTGACTTGGTGAGTGGTGACCAGACCTTAGTTAGGTGTTCTGGCATCAAACTTGTTACACGGGCTGCAAAATTAAGGTGTTTTGGAAGTGATTCATACACGAGTCAAACAGAAATTGTGAGTAGTGATTAATAAAGCATCCCCCAATGCAGGTATGTATGTGTTACAGGCCGTATGAAAACTCAGTCCGTTTGCAAACGGCCTGGCCCGATTCAGGCCGTTTGCAAACGGCCTGGACAGCCCAGTCAGTATGCAAACGGACTGAAAAGTCAGGCCGTTTGAATACGGGCTGAAATTCCAGGCTGTATGCAAACCGCCTGAAATTTCAGTCCGTTTGCAAACCGTCTAGGCCGTATGACAACTTTCCAGACACCAGGCCGTTTGCAAACGGTCTAGGCATTTTGAAAACATCTGGTCTGCATAAAGTTACAGCTGGACAATGTTGAGTTTGTTGAAGCACGACCGTTTCATGACATTACATGGCACCATGAAATCCTGAGGTGCATTCGGCATCCGGAAAAATATCGTCACTCGGATATTCTCCGTCGGAAAATTATTGTTGAGCGCCTATCTTCAGCATGTCTCGTTATCGCGATACCGTTCGTGATCCCCGATGATTCTCGCTAGTTCCGGAAAATTCTCCCTGATTTTCCCGATGACGAATGCAGGCCTGGTTAGGAAGAGATTAGCAGAACTGAGACCCCGGCCCGTATAGCGCCCGGTCGACCCGGGCCTCCCCCGGACTT